CAAGACACGCAAATATGCAATGCTTACCGTGCTTTTGTCGCTTCACTGCAGTGCACCAATGCGCGATGAGAAGCGCACTAAACGAAACTCAACAAAATGAAACACTGCGACTTGCCTCTTTCTCTCAGAAAAAGGAGTGAGTTGCAATGTTCGGTTGCGTTTTTGAGGGCGAGAAAGGTCACGTGCAATTGTAAATTTGGGTTTTGTAGGATGTTTAGGGCGTGTAGGTTGAGGTTGCACCATAAAAAGACAATCTCAAAATACAAACCGATGTTAGCCTTAACCAAAGGTGCCAGAAATGCGGTACTTTGTTTCTAGATTTATGCATTCTGAAACAAAAATACTTGAAGATTCATTTCCAGAAAACATTTCTCTATTTAGTTAACAAAATATGACTGATTAAAGGGGTTTTACAAGTGTATAAAAACAATTTTGTAAAACAAAGTAGGAGTCAAGTTAGATATGTTTGTGGTTGCCCCCTTCGTTTGCTTGTAGCAGCCTCAATTTATATATAGATATTGTACATCAGCTTGCCTGCATTTTTACATTTCCTAAGCCAATGCTAGTTTCCTATACAATATTTTTTTCCTCTTCCTTGCTCTTGTCACAATAACTTCCTCCTTCTTCAGAGGTCACATATAAGACATTTTGAGTATGCATAGAGGTATTCTTAAGTCACTTGGACAACAAATGAAAATAGTTCAACTTAAGGTCAGTTCAAACTGTTATTGACACAAAATTGGCAAAACCCAAAGAATATGAAAACAACCCTTCAAACACTTGTCACAACAACTAACTGGTTTGGGCATGTTTTCATATTTTATACTTTGCTATGTTGGATCACAGAAGGCTAGTAGTATAAAGAAACTAATAAAAAAAAAAGAAAGACATTGCAATTATATAGTATGGGCATAAATGACTAACTCTACTCTACGTCAATACACAGTGGAAGGGGCGACATATTGGCATAGAGAAACAATACAGTCCTCAACTGATCTCGAGTACCCGGAAAAAGAAAACACTTAAGATTGTCTCATTCAGAGAGGCAGCCAATCCATATCCAATCACTCAATCTTCCCGTTTCTTGTTTTCTTCATATTTTTTTGATACATTTGCACTATAGCATCACTCCTTTTGGTAAATATGACTTGAATTTTCTATGATTCCTAGCAAGCAACTATTACGGCTCTCACTCCTTAAATATTGTCACATATAACAGGTGACAAAGGGAAGCTAAAACTGAGGAAAATAAAAGTTTAATGGGGCAAACTTGTGCCCAAACCCAGCATACTTTGGATGTTGGGGTACGAGTGAGGAATTATAGGTACCTCATTTACCCAATTCTAATGTGCCCCTAATGCAGAGCTCAAGTTTGTCTGCTTTCGAGGTCTGCTTACTATCCTTCAATCAGAGCCGATCAGAGCTCGGCATAGTGACGTCGCCACAACCCCTGCAAAAGAAGCAGACGAACTTGCGCTCTGCATTCTAATGTTCACACAGTTTTTATATCCAAGAAGTGAAACTTCAACATGCCCCCGACGTCGGTTTTGTATCCAAGTCTAGCGTGAAGGAAGTTTTTAGGAACAATTTTCTATATAAAAAACAAGGTTGGCGTTAGAATCGGCTGACTACGATAAGTTACGGAGTAAAAGAAAAGCTCTCAAGAAATGGTGACGACACAACAGCCAGCGGGAGCGCGTCCTCTATTCGTGATCGGTTTTTTACAGGCGGTTGCAACGCAGAACAATCACACTCAAACACAAAAGGGCAGTCCCACGGAACGCCTCTTCCTTTTCGGCAAGTCGCGTTCCACCACGTCGACAAACAGCGTCTGCCACTTTCGCCTTTTGTTTACGTGCGGACGCTTAGTTTCTGCCATCGTTTTAGATGTCCGTGTAACACCAGAGCGTCACCAGTGGTTCTGTCCACGACGGAACTCAGCATGCATAATCGGGGATGTATTAGTTTGTTTTAATTTGTATCCTTTCGGAGTCGCCCGGGCGGCATCTACCAAGCTCTTGTGGCCGCCGACGGGTCGATGCCTTGTCTTAAGTCCGTTCGAATTAAGACAGGTACGTATGAAAATCGAGCATCGGACGATGCTCCTTCTTGTCGCAAACTATACCAAAAAACAAAACAAATTGCGACGCAAAAAAAAAAAAAAAAATCTCAACCGAGCTGGGAAACACTAGCTTCATGCATAGGAGGACATAAGGCGAAAGAATCAATGATCCGGTGAGATTTTGAGTTAGAAGTATGTCATATTAGGAGAGCAAGTCATCTGCTTCTTGCGCAGGGGTTGTGGTGATGCAGAATGACGCTGAGCTATGATTGGGCTTGATTGAAAGGATAGAGGGTATAAATTTAAATGCTCGATGCCTTGAGGCCTGTCCACTATTTTTTTTCTCCAATCGGTTAATAAGAGTCTGGCGTTTCGACATTTTCGCAACCCCTGTGCAAGAAGCAGACAAACTTGCGCTCCACATATTGCCCCATACTGTTACTGGGTAAACACCCGATTGGAGTGTAAAGCAGACCATGCTCTGAAGCAAGGAATGCGGCTCCCTACTCTCTGGCAGCAAGGGGAGTGTGACTCACCCCTGGGTACTCTCTCGAGGGTGGTAATGAGGAAAGGGTCACCGCTGGACCAGACGCTGCCCAGCTCCGAGGCCCATGTGTCGCCGCAGCTCTCGGCCATGGCGCTCAGCACTGCCAGGGACAGCATGGCGCACTGCCAGTTCCGGCTGGGGTCCACCAGCTTCTCCCCCATCCCACACTCGAGCATGTAGAGCAGGGCAAACTCTGCGGCTATGCCTCCATTGCACAGCACCTGCACCCAGTTTCGCTGGCCACCTGCGCACAAACGACGTCGTGCCCTTCGGTCAAGTTTGCCACGAAGTCTGGCAACAAAGGAATGAAGGGCGGCTGATGGCTCACTAGGTAGACCACAAGTTTGTCTGCTTCTTGCGCAAGGGTTGTAGTGACACCAGAACGCCGAGCTCAGATTGGCTAGATTGGAAGGATAGTGGGTAGACCCCAAGGACACTAGCACTGAGATCTACCCACTATCTTTCCAAGTCGAAACTTGATCTTTTGATGTCACTGCAACGCCAATGCAAGAAGCAGACAAACTTGTGCCCCGCATAGGAAAACACCGGCAGGTGAAGTCGAGGCGGTGTTCGAACGCGACTCCCAAGAGTGTGGTCTGGGTGACATGGGGGAGGGAGGGTGCCACAGGTTGCGAGGGTGTAGGTGTGCAAGGGTTCAGCCAAGGACAGGCTGATAGTCATGCATACACTTTTTGAAGTGTTTAGTGGCAGGTTGTGTGCCACACACCACCTGTGGCATTCACCGAGGTTCCTTCGGAGGGAGGTGGATGCCTCCATTGATGTCCCGGGTTGAAGGAGTGAGAGGTCATCTGCATGTAGTATTGCCTTTGATTTTAGTCCATCGGCGATGTTGTTCACGTAAATCGGGAAGGGCATAGGGCTTACACTGCCCCGAGGCACACCGGTAAGCACATGCGCAAGGTGGCAAGAGGTGACTGTGGAAGGCATATAGTCCCGATTAGTTGCATATACTATCATGCTGACAAGTTCTGTTATCGATCAGCTTTTGTACTTTAATCGGGCGAGAATTGAGAATTAAAGATACCCACCCTCCTTGTGGTCGGCTTCAAATTTTCGTTTTTGGCTGGACCTGAACTTCGTTGCTTTTGAAGAGGACACGAAAAAAACGAGCAGCACAGCTTGAAAGCAGTAACTGCTCAGTGTAAGGACAAACCCGAGAATGAGACCTGCAAAATAAAGGAAATAATGAAGAAATGTAACCAATAAAATTAATGCATTGGTTACATTTTTTTATTTCTATTGGTTAAATTAACATTTATGCGGAGCACAAACTTGTCTGCCTCTTGCACGGGGGTTGCGATGATGCCAGAATGCCTAGCTCTTATTGGCTGGTCTAGCATTAAGGTCTAACCCTATCCTACGAATCAAAGCCAATAGAACAAGGCGCCGTTCTGACGTCACCGCAACCCCTGCGCAAGAAGCAGACGATTTACTTTCCGCATTGCTTACATTTATATTACATACCGCAACATCAACCCCTTCTCGTTTACAAATTTCATTTAAACCATCATCACTTTTTTTTCTTAATTTATTTGTACAATATATAATTTTATCATCATTCGACGCGGCGCCGCAGGCCTTCACGGTATGGGAAACTTGTCTTCCAGCGGCGCCGCGGCTCAGCTGAGCTCAAATAAATATCAATCAATCAGTTTACAAATTTTGAGAAAATACGGACGCGTGTAGTTATACTTAAGGAAATATTCTTACCGGAAAGTGCTCCCGAAACGTCCAAGCTTTTTTTCCTGTAGCCCCATGTCGCGATGAGAAGTGGAATAAAAACAGAGACGAAGAAACGGAGCGGGGTGGGCGGAGCGATATCTGAAAAAATGAACGACTGCAAGTTATACACGCGTACGTATACGTAAGCTCGATGAACGCGGCGTTTCTTCATTTAATGACCGAGAAAATAACTGCAGCCAGATTCAGCACCTGAGGCTCCAGGATAACTCGGGCAGCACTCACCTTCGGAATACCAAGATGAAACCACCGACACCGTCCAAAACAGTAGAGAAAGGGGTAGTGTCACCGCAAGCAGGCTTACTAAAAGCATTATTTTTATAAAAACAAATTAAAAAATAAACGAACCTAAAGGTGAGTCACAGACAGCTCTTTCTTTCTCATCAATAACACAACATTACGTAACGAAAACGAAGACGCGGCTCACGACTACTGACAACAAAACAAATCCGCGGGAACAAAACCACGAAACCCGAACCCCGCTAGCTTCCGAAACTTTTTATAAACTGCAGTTACCCGGAAACGGAACTCGGCCACTCGGCGTAGGTGTGGTAAACTTGCGCCACCTACCCTCCTCTGCTACTGCTGCTACTGCTGCCATCTATCCAACAAACTTGGCAAAGTTTCACTATTCGTTGTTCAAGTTGGTCAAGTCGTATGCTGTGGTCAGGTCGAGACTCGAGTCGTGGTTTGTGCGTCAACAAAATGAAGTTCGTCTTGTAAGCTCAAACTCTCGGTTTATATAACATAAATACAGTATTTATAGGTGTTTTATTTAGACTCGCTAAGGCACTGGGTTTACTGACAAAATCGCACATTCTTTGGAGCGTTCGACGATCTGTCAACATGGACGAAATCGCCAAGCTTGAGTACCTGTCTCTTGTTTCCAAAATATGCACGGAGTTGGACAACCATCTAGGAATAAACGACAAAGACATGGGTAAGTACGTGTTCCCGAGCTCGTGATCGTTATGGTCATTTTTAATAGCTTGTAGCCTACATGGGTTTCTTGACGTGCCTGAGGCTCCTAGCGTTGTACTGTTGTATCACATTTCCGACGACAACCAAGGTGTCTTTCAAATAATACTTTCAGCCGAGTTTATTATTGACCTGGCAGACAAGAACAACACGTTTGAGTCCTTCAAGAAGGCTCTGGAAGAGAACGAGGCGGAGTTTTCGGTAAGTGCGTTTCTCCGTTTTGTCCTCCTAGCATGCAGATGATCGCACCCGTACTACGCAGCCCTGTTGATAAATACGTAGTCCACGCAAAACTTCCACAGTCTTTACACTGAGAGAGATTCCCAAGTTTGATGGCATATCATGTTGGTTAGATTTCATTATGCTTGGACATCTTCAGATGTAGAAGTCTTTATGTATTGGATATCATGATGTTGGCTTACATTAACAGAGATCTCAGTGGTCATTGGAGTTATCTTCTTAGATGTGGGCATGCCGTTTGCCTCATGATCATTATAACAATGTTGCGAAAATGTGTAAACAAGTTGGAGATCCACATAACACTAGCATCATCCTCTGCCTATAACTGCATCCTCTTATGCCGGTTACTTCCGAGAATGACAAACAGTGCTTGGCCTGTGTCTGTCTTCCATTTACACATATTTTTCTCATTGCCAGCCTTTGGGGATGACTAAGAAAACTAGCCCGCTTTTTTATTTTAATTCAGAAAGTTATTTATTGGTTAAGTATTGGAATTAGCGCTCGGTTGGCATTGGTTATCCCGAATTACGCTTGTTCAATCACACTAAGACAAATGGCCATTTGAATTATGTTGTGGTACTTATAGGACTCGTTCACGGCAAATCTGCTGCGTATCATTCAGCACATGAGACCCAAGAAACATACAAGCTCTCTACCCAAAGAAGGCTTTGAAGAAAAGCCCAGGACAGAGCTGGACATCAAGCGCGAGCGTTTCCCATTTCTAGCGCTACCGAATGACCCAAAAGCACGGGTAAGTTGCTTATACTTTTACTATTGTCTTCGACAAACCTGCAGCAGTAGAGCTTTTTGATTCATTGCTTCCTTCAGTTGTGCTTCGTTTCAGTGCCAGCTTGGTACCTTCTATGGTTCTCAGTTTCAGCCGAAGTACCGTCTAAGCCAGCACGCTTTCACCGACAGTAGTGCTTCCATAGGGGGCCCTGTCTCCACCTGAATGTAATGAACCTGACAAGTGCTTGTATAACATGAGCGGGGATGCAAGGATGCCAGACACCCATTGAAGCCAACTACTTTTATATTGTCTAAACATACACACAACACAACTACTTTGCATAACGTGCAATAATACTTGTTGTGACCGATTCTTTTTGCAGACATTACTAGAAGAGGATGTGAAAGTTGCGTCGGATGCCCTCGCAGAACTAGAAGCTCTAGCACCGGGTGCCAGGTACGTTCCTGGTGTGTGCCCAGGGTGATCAGAAATTCGAAACACATATTCGTGATTTCTGCAGTTTGTAATTGTGCTCTGTGTATATTTATACAGCTGGATTTGTTTGTGTTGGGTTGTGCAGGAAAAAAGACGCAGAAGTGGACAAGTCAAGCAGCAGGACTGAACGATCAAATGACAAGCATAGCAGGTATGCTGTCACATAGTGAAAACCAGGGTAGGAGGGCATGCTTTTCGACACTTTTGCAGCCGCAGTTACCGACAGTCAATGGGCGACTGATTTTCAGTATCTTGGCACAGTGTGGAGGGGTGTTAGCTTCACTTTTATCTACATCAGTTACAATTCATGTATTGCAGATTTGGTGTTTACATCCTAAGTTTAAATTTCAAATTTTCTAAAATCCACGGTTGGAGGGAGACAGGTTTTGTATTCCTGATCATCCATAGTTGCGTATAAAATTGAATAATGCGCTAAAAACCAAGATATTAGTTATCCCGCGAATCATAGCTTCCACCGACATAAAAACGCCGTGCCTCGCTCCCTGTAAAAACAAGTCTGGAAAAATAGTCTAAACTCTAGACCAGAACGGCGACTAGCACAATCGTTCATCTAAGTTGGCTTCTGTCGTGACCCAAAAATGCGGCGACATTGGCCAGTCGTCTCGAGGGGATGTCGACGAGAAGTGTGGATTCACTCGAAAGTGGCTCATTTCTAACCGTTGAGATGTACTCGATTCGGGATGACTTCCAGGTCCTCCAGGCGTCATAGATCAAAGTCTCGTTCAAGGAGCCCCGTCCACCGGTCTTCGAGGCGTCGCTCCAGGTCTCGAACCAAGAGTCCCTACTCGCGGCGCTACTCCAGTCGCCGGTCCCGCAGTCGTAGTCGCGACCGGGACCGCCGCCGATCTCGCTCCAAGGATCGGCACCAGGCCTCTGGTAGTGGAAGCAGCAGCAGCCACAAGGACCGCAACGCGCCTCCCGTGTCTCCTGACCCCGTGGTTGGACAGGTGGGTGTGGCGGTTCGTCGTAGGTCGGCAGTTTGAAGACCACGAAGCTTGTGGCTCTTGGTGCATTTTAGTGTGAACTACTCGCTCATTAACATGCTCCTTGTCCTTTGATATTTGATTTGGAATGTCTCCTTTGATATCGAAAACAATACTTGCGAGTCATGGAAAGGTAACTAGCCTAGGTAACATCGTTAAAAGACTGGGAATATTTCGTATTTCGTTGTATCATGATGGTAAAGTCTTCGACGAACCCAGTTAAAATTTCTTTGGAGTAAATGCCAGATTCACTCCAAAGGGCCTCATTACATAAACAAGCTGCCCAGCTTCCACTAAGACAAGTTAAAACTGTATAAGATAACTGGGGGAAAAAAGTAATATTGTTTCCATTCATGCTCTTATAGCCAATCACCATTTATATATTATCAATCAATCAATTTTATTTACATCATCATCAGATAATAATACTTGGTTGTTTTCTTTTTTCGTGTGTATCAGATCTACAACGGGAAGGTGACCAACATTATGCAGTTTGGCTGTTTCGTTCAGCTGGAAGGTCTACCCAGACGTTGGGAAGGCCTAGTTCATATCTCTCAGGTATGTGCAAATGTTGTATCCTTATGTGTGTGTTATACTTGGTTTGTTCGTAAGTAGTGACCAACACCTCAAATAATACCTACCGTATGTGCTATTATCATTTAGGCCCCTTGGTTCTACTTGTAAGCTTGGGAAATGCGAAATTCCGTCCAGTAATGCTCTGGCGACTCGAAATTAAAGCTGTCTATATCTCAAGCAAATAGACCAAGTGTTGTTTGGCTCTTAGATTGCCTAGAATAATCTAACTGATCAGAGTTTTTAATGTTTACTGGTATTCAAGGAACACTTGCTGTGTTCTGCACGTTTATTACTGTTTCTTTATTTATTTTTGCTGCTCGCACTCATCATAGTCCTTGTTTAGAGATTGATAGTCTCATTAAATAAATAAAACAATGGCATTCAACATTGCCTTGTCCTTGTTATACTAGAATGCAATAGTGGTGTACTGCTTTTACTAAGCTCTTTTTGAGTACCATAGTAGTGAAACAATTTAGAAGTGTGGTTTTTAATGACCAGGCCACCGCATCATGCATAGATCTGCGTGACATCCAAGCTCACACACTTTCCAGAATCTGGGCCAGTATAGAGGCTGACAGCTCTTAAAAAAGTGTGGCATTTACACTCTGCCAATTGATGTCTTGATGAAGTTTATATCAAGATAGTTTATTTGATCTTCATCCTTGTCTCGCTGACCTAACAGTGGTTGGTTTGTATTCCAGTTGCGGAGGGAGGGCCGCATCACCAACGTCGGAGACGTAGTTGCCAGAGGCCAGCGCGTCAAGGTGAAGGTCCTGTCATTCACGGGACAGAAGACCAGCCTTTCCATGAAGGTATATGCCTTTTTGAATTGTGCCTGGCCTTTGCTTCTGACTGGTCACTGCTTTAAAAGTCAGCATCCTAAGGCAGCTGGTGCTCGTCACAGTGGTTATGGCACCATTATGTGGCAATACTGACCACTCTGAGGCCAACCCGCCAGATCTCTAGCAGGTTTTAAACTCTCTTTCCTACTATATCTGCAGTTATTTGGATGTGAGAAAATAGGACCTTTTAATGAACTTTAGGAAGTCGGGTAACCCACAGCAGACTCAAAATATACTTTTATGAGGGCTGAATGATGAGTTCTTGGATTCGGCCTTGCTGGTCCGTGGCTATGGACAGGGGTAAAAATGTTTATTTTCCCTCTTTTCAAACTGCAGGTCAGCCTTGGAAATGTCTACAATCTGTCTACAATGTATGAACAGCCTAGGGCAAAACTCCCAAATGTAGACATGCAAACTGAGCAAATAATCATTCCACAAAAGATTTTTGCTTACACTTAAAATGAAGGAGCATACATTTTTTTGCTTTATTTGTACCGAAGCATTTTATCCGGGGGTGGGGCAAATATTGTGTATTTCAATCATAATTTGAACAGAATGTTTTTACATTTGCTTCATATTTCATTTTGAACAAAACATTTTCATATCGGAGTTTGAACGGAATAATTCCACATTCATTTCAAACTCGAAGCACGATTCAAATATTTTTGGCGTTTGATGTGACGCACTGAAACGCTGTTCCCCAGGACGTCGACCAAGACACGGGGGAAGACCTGAACCCCGTCCGGCGTGCGGGAGACCCGGAGTCTCAGGAGGCGGCCCGCAATCCCGACCGCCCTTGCTCCCTGCCGCTGGTGGCACGCCCCGACGACGACGACGTGGACAACCGGCGGCGGGTCCAGAGGATCTCCTCTCCCGAGAAGTGGGAAATCAAGCAGGTGGGTAGAGCACGTTGCCCTCTTCCCCTTCCCCACCCCGTATTCCTCGTTCTCCTTCTTGTGTAAATCGTGTTGCTGCGGAGGCAGTGGAGGGAAAGGAGGAATTTCTTGACTCGCACGCAAGGGAAGGGAATTGCTTCTCCGATTTTGAACACTAACTCTATGCCGATGTGCACTGGTGGCGCGCGACCAAGGTCTTCTGTGTTGGCATCCTCTCCTGAGCTGTGAGGGGGGCCGTATTGGCGCGTGTGGAAAGGTAGAGAGGATATGGAAGAGGAAAAGTGGAGTGCCCAAAGTGTATGTTAGCCTTTAAGTGCCAGGTACTTTCCCGCATGCCCAATGCAAATTTTGTTTGTGCTCCACTAATGCATCGGCGTGCTTTATGAAGTGTATATTTATTTATCGAATACACGTTGATCTATGAGCGCAAAGTATTTTATGTGTGCACGTTTCCAACCTATAACATTTTTCTCGTACTGTATCTTTTGAGACGTGGTACTATGCAAGGCGGTACCTCGACCTCACACCCCAAGATCACTCTTTTTGAGCTGCCTTATTTAGCATTTTTTCTCACACACCGAAACTGAAGCCACATAACGGGTATACTCGGGCTCAACCGGGGGTGTGCACGGGACACTGATGCCTCATCTTGCATTGTATGTTTCAGATGCTTTCTGCGAATTGCATTGACAAGTCGGAGCTTCCAGACTTTGATGAGTCAACCGGTATACTACCCAAAGAAGATGACGATGGTGCGTAATTTAGGCTCTTCAAAGTTTATACCTATACTTAGTCGTGTCTCCTGTTTAATTAAGGAGTCTGAAGGCTTAGCTGTAGGAAATCTAGAGTCCAACCCGGTTCTTGCCTTGCAGAGGAAGATCTAGAAATTGAACTGGTTGAGGAAGAACCGCCATTCCTGAGAGGCCATGGAAGATCCAACTTGCAAGACCTGAGTCCGGTCAGGATAGTGAAGGTATGTTGTCAATGGTGTGCCTGTCATACAGTAGGCTCGCGACAGTTCTAACTTGGATATTTTATACTTCTGGTGAATTTAAACAAATTTCATTATTTTGGTTGTCCTGCTATGCTTGCATGTATTCATAAGTCACTTAATTCGAACGGCGTTTTCGTGTAATTCACACTTTTTGTTCTCGCGGCCCCATTGAGTGTGCTTCTTTCCGAATACCGGTGCACTGCAGAGAAGCATCACCCCGGAGCTTTCTTTCGCGGGTGTTGCTTCTCTGCAGTGCACCAGTGCTCGGTGAGAAGCACACTCAACGGGGCTCAAGCAGGGCACACATGAGCTATGAAAACGGGCACCACACGGAAATTTCCAAAGTAACTTGCGCAGACGCTGTGGTGTGACGGCATGGCATAGGTCCACGTCACAACATCCGCACAAGTTATGAAAACTGCTTTGCGGTGCCCGTTTTCATCGCTCGTGTCCCCTGCTTAATAGTCCACAATTGACAACCTCTTGGCCTGATGAACAAACTTAATTTAGCTTCGAGTCGTCATGTGCTGTTTCTACAGTCCTCGATAAACAACTTTTTTGAGAGATAAATAAACTTATGTCATACATTTTACAAATATTTCATGTGTGGCACACCTGCTTATGGTCAGTAGGTCTGTATGGAGGAAATCATCAAATATCTGCTTTGTACGTGTAGCCATCGATGTGGCAAATCATACTTTCATCGGGCATCATATTTAGATACATTTCTGATAATTCAAACTTCTGGTAATTCAAACAAAATTTGTGACTTCCTGGATTTAGTTGCATCCACTGGCTTCCTGTTGGATTTAGTATTTGCATCCACTGGATATTGTCACAAATGGCAACTGAAGAGGTGACGATGGTGGCGTAGTAGCGGGATAGAGTTCTGGGGGCGAGACTGATTCCGACTGGCCATTCGGAGCCCCTTATGTACACGCGTGGGCTTCTGGAACGATCGGCGTAGATTATTCAGAACATTCAAACCTCAAACAAGCAGCAGGGTTCTCGAATTAACCAGAATGAAACATTTACTAAAATAACTAAAAGGTACTTCTGCTCTCAGGAACCAAACCTCGGCCCCTTGCATGGTAGCCAAGCACTATAACCATTCAGCCACGGATACGCTTGCTCTGAGATGCACATGGCAATATTTCACAGCTATACTTTCTGGGTTTTTCTTAAGGGGAGGCACTTCCTTGGAGGGTCTACTTTTTAAGTATTTGTGCCAGGTCATTGAAATTTTTAGGGTATTTTAAACGTCAAAACTTAGGAGGCTACACCAACTTTCAACCCAAAAGGTCTATTTCTTGACAAGTTGCAGCCTTATTCGTTAAAAAAAATGTACATGTAGCAGTACCAAAGGGAAAAAAACTATCGTTTCAAAATATGGATAAAAAGGCACAATTTCTTTTTTGGGATATAACGCTGAATGACTAAACTAATCGGTAGTAGGCTTGAAATAATTTTTAAGGCCATATTTCACGTAAAAATTAACTTTCAATAATGGTATGAATTTTTAATTTTTTTCTTGTTTCACAAACGTGAACATTTTTTGTGTGAAGACATAACAATTTGCAAAAGGTAAGCGCATAGCCGAGTTCTCCAGTAAATTTCATGCCAAAAAAGCCATACATTAGACTTTGGGGCACTTAACTGATTGAACGATAGTTTTAGAGCTGTGAAAAATGGTGAAAACATGAAGCTGAGAAAAAAGGGTTTGAAAGTTTGAACAGTGTTTTAGTTTAGATGGGGCTTGCCATTTCATCTAAAATGCTCCAGGGGCATATGTCACTCCTTCCTCTGCACGGTCCCTCTGTGCCTTGGCCACAGCTTCCATCTTCCTTTTTTTGTGGGACATCTTGGAGGACTCGAGCGCTTTCACTTGGGCCTTCGCAACCTTCATCTTGGTGGCCCTCTCTCCGTATGACGCTTGGTAGCTCCGTGGCTGTATGCCCATTTCCAACAGAGCTTCCTGATTCGCTAGGACAAGCCACGTCACGTGGCTCGTCCTAGCGAATCAGAGCTCTTGTTTCGCCAGCTTGACCAATAAGAGCGTGCACAGCTATGTTTTCTACGGTGTTTTACGGTCTGTGAGCACAATATCGCGAACAATGCTGCGAACAGAACGAAAGAGGGCGAGACGCTCATTCCAACGAGGGGGGCCTGTCCATGCTAGTCCTATGAAACGCGGAGGGAGCGTGCTTTGAAAATGGCACATTTTCGTAGTCGGCCGCGTCGTCGGCGCGCACGTGCGGCCGCCAGCACTTCGAAAATAATTTATTTCGGAGTAAATACTTTACTTACAGGAATAAAATTTTTGGACAGCATTCTTTATGAGTTGTAAAAGCTGGTCAGCCTATTTTCCAAAAATGTGACATTTTTGAAAAAATCGCGATTCCTAGGCCGTGCCTCCCCTTAAATGGTTAGCTTGTAAAAATAGCAGCAAAATTTTTAGTTTTATAGTGTTCAAGGAACAAAGTGTACAGGTGGAAGAAACAGGCATTTATATTTTTGCTGTGTAGACTCCTTGCTACCTACTTACCAAGTCCTAGGCTGGGCCAAAGAGTTTTCCTACCGCGCAGCAACCACAAATGGCCACTGCACAAGTGCTCTGTTCCTGCATCATGTGTAAACACAGAAGCAAGGAAGAATCCATGCTACCAAGCAATATGAATACAGCAGTATTTATTATAGTACAAGAGCTGAAACAATGCTTGTCAGAGCTTCAAAGCACCCTATCAGACAATTTTGTTGTCATGGTACATAGAAAAATATTAAGAGAACAAATATACAGTAAAAACTCGTTATAACAAAGTTGAAGGAGCGGTCGTAATTATTTTGTTATAACCATTAGTTTGTTATAGCCAATGTCCATTTCTTCCCACTATTAGCAAGAAAGGGGAATTATGATTGCTTTGTTATATCCATTAGTTCGTTATATCCCGTTTTGTTATAACGAGGTTTTACTGTACTTCCAATTGCCATTTTTATTTGTATTTATTTGACTTTACGGCTTAATTTTGGTATGTGTCTTTATTTATTAATGCGCTGGTTTGGGTGTCATCAAGCGGCCAGTGCCGCAATGACTCCGAAGTGGTGCAATTTCTATCGTGCTTTCCAACTGCAGAATCCTGACGGCTCCCTTGCACAAGCAGCCATGATGCAGTCTGCCCTAGCAAAAGAACGTAGGGAGCAGAAGCAGCAGCAAAGAGAAGCAGAGATGGATTCGATTCCAGCTGGCCTGAACAAGCACTGGATTGACCCCATGCCTGATGGTAAGGAGCAATATCTAAAAACCTCGTCCCTTCTCATTGCAACTTTTCGTCTGATGTGGGCTTCCTTCAGCCTGACCTTGCATCGATGGCCACCTTTTTACATTAAGTAAAAAACAAAGCAGTGAACTAAGCCCTTGGTTGTGGTCTTTGTATAGGAGGTATTCACATACAGTCGAACCTCGATATAACGAACTTCAATGTAACGAAATCCTCGATTTAACGAAGTATTTTATTTTTCATAATTTCTTGCCCATAGACCCCATGTATTTTTAGTCCCTATATAACGAAGTCTATTTTGCTGCTATTTCAATATAGCGAAGCGCCATTGCCATAGAAGGCAATAAATAAATCAACTCTAAAAAACAACTGCGCAAAAAAATTGTGGTTAAAAAAAAAAAAATTATGCGCAAACGCGAGCGCTTGATAGGTTACTTCACGGGGACAGGCCTTCCAACGTTCCTAGGCTGCCCGAGGATGCGGCGCCGGTAGCGCCGGCGAGGCATGCGGCAAAGCGGATTCCGCGAGGCTGGCCAGAAAATGCCGAGCAAAAAGTTAACACGGCATAACAGCATCACCACTGACATTCACTGATCATCATAGTCCACTGTATCGCGGGTAGCGCGGGAGCCAACTTCAGCGGGGGAGCGACCTGATGGCGCGACTGGCGCGACCGCGCGACCGCACGGGCAGTGCCATCTAGGAGAAGACCGAAAAGACCGATTATCGTCTTGCGAGCGTGATGTAAAGCAAAGGCGCAAGCACACTGTGGGCGCAAGGGGGCAAGTAAACTGCGGTCAAGAGTGCTGTGTAGGTTGGAAACATTGGCACCGCCTAAACTGCCTAAACTAAACAGCTTTATTTTTTAACCGGGCGCTTCACTTACGTGCTTGCTGCCATAAGGAAACGTAAAGTTCTTTCTTTGGATGAGAAAGCAAACGTTTTGGACGCCATCCTGAAGAAACTGCCGAGATCACGAGCACTCGGGAAGTGCTCGACGCAATGGACGTGCAATGGACGTACTGAGGAGGTACACGGCGTCGCATGGGCAGCAAGATGCCGTGCAAGCGCTCTGGGCGCTCGAATGGCTCGAACGCCGTATGACGCCGCCGACGCCGCTGCTACTGTCGGACAAGGCGCTAGCAAAACTCGCGGACTACTTTGCCCCTAAATAAATGTCATTTTCGGTGAGTTTTCATACTCGTAAAATGTTTCGGAATTTTTTTTTTTTTTTTTTTGCATGCTAAAGCCAAATTTCGATTTAGCGAAATTTCAATGTAACGAAGTAAATTGCGAATTTTACCGACTTAGTTACATCGAGGTTCAACTGTACTGTCATCACCATGAGCTGTGGATAAACCAACTTATGGTTTTTCATGAACAACAGCATTGGCAGTGAGTCTGGCTTTTGCTTGCTGTCAGCACAAGCTCAGCAGCGAACCATGCAGCCATGACTGCCAGCGAATACTCCCTATTGAGTGATATCTCGGTTAATTGAGCCAGTTCTTGAAGCACATTGAGCTATAGTTCTACTACTGGAAGTTAGTGGAATCGGAATGGCCTCGCATAGCAGAACATGGCTTTGAGACAAAATGTTTAAAGTGGAGAAATGTGATTGGGCCTGTTCTCGCAGACAGTGCGGAAATATTTGGGGAATTCTTCATCTTTTTGTTGTTCAAAACGTAGGTTAAGGAAAAAGACAAGCTTTTGGTTTTTCCAGGTCAGCTAATTAATGGCAGTCTAGTGGGTATGGTAATACTGGTTGGCATGTAAAATAATCTTCGACATTAAACTGACCATGCCTGTATTGATGTGTATTGCTCCGGGACCTTCGAATCTCCTGAATAAAAAATAAGCTTAGTGCACGGCTGAGTGCTCCCTAGTAGACAGCTGCCACAGAGACATTTGGAGGTCTGTCACATTCAAGCAACATAATAGATGGTTCTGGAAAAGGTGGCTGCTGAGCGTGGGTGCTGATCACAAGCTTTTACTGTGCTTTTCTAAGATGCTTTCCAGACCATCAAGATTGTTGGTCTTAGCAGCCTACAAATAGGAGCTCGTTTCAAGCACGTGCTTTGAACGGCGCACTCACGTAGGGCACACCACGAACACTCCCCGTAGCGTGTGCAACATCACATTAATTGCGCAACCTGTCGCGTCACGTAGCGGACGGCCGCACCCTGGCCGCCAACATGCGCGGCATCGGGATGATGACCCAGGAGTTGCCCGAGTGGAAGAAACACGTGACGGGAGGGGCCAAGGCATCTTATGGCAAGAAGACCCAGATGACCATCCTGGAACAGAGGCAGTCTCTACCCATCTACAAGCTGAAGGACGAATTGGTCAAGGTATGCACTCGATTCATCCACCACCGTCGTCGAACTGTCGCTAACGTCTATGCTTCGTTCATTCTAAGCCGATTGTGGGGTAGAGGCTACGAGCTCGTTAAACCGGTCGTACGTTCATCTCTCGCTACGTGGTCCCACTTTCTCCACTTGTGCGGAGAGAGGGAGGTCGGGTGACGGAAGGGAGGCGTTTGATAGGTCCGGCGAGTTTGTAACTCGAGCCACATTTTTCCTCGGATCTGCTTTGCCTCGAAGCAGCCGAGGCGGCAAAGAAAGTCTGTTGATTGAGAAATACCAAATTTACTCAAATGTAACGCGAGTTTTTTTTTCAAATTTCCCTCACCTAATTTGGGGGTTCGCGTTATAATCGAAACGCCTCAAAATTTGCCTTGGCGGTGTCGCAGCACAGGCTCTTTAAAATGGCTACGACAAATCTCGCGATCTTTCAATCTTGTGCTGGCAACATATACACGCTGGAAACAGCCAATCCAATCCTATTCTTGTTTGCGACTCGTTGCGCCCATGTTAGGGTTACGGGTTACCTTCACAACTCTTTCTCTTTCTGTTAAAGTTACCGTACCCATGTGCCCGTGTTGTCCGTGTTTTGTGAGCTGCTGCTACGTGCTTTGCGACTGGACTCTCGAGCAAATGGCGACGCAACGAGCTCAGTACGACGCCCGCTTTAAAAGAAGTGCAATTATGATGGCTGAGGAAATCGAAAACTGTGCCGCGGCTCGACGGGTAGATGTGACAGAACCGACTGTCCGTGGGTGGAGGCTCCAGCGTGAAGTGCTCTTCAAGTGTGAGCCCGGCCGAAAAGGCTTCCGTGGACCACGTTGTAGTACTTTTTAGGTACTATTTTCCCCTCACTTAACTCGTGTTACATTCGTGTACTTTTTTTTTTTTTTTTTTTTGCGCTGTGAAAAGTCACTTTTTGCGTTACAATCGTGGTCGCGTTACATTCGAGTAAATACGGTACTTTCGTTGCCCGTAAAAACGGAAATTGTGCAATCTCAGCTGCGTTTTGTGTCGTGGCAGGCTGTGACGGACAACCAGATTCTGATCGTGATTGGAGAAACCGGGTCCGGCAAGACCACACAGATCACCCAGTACCTCGCCGAGGCTGGCTTCACCACCCGGGGCAAGATTGGCTGCACCCAGCCCAGACGTGTGGCGGCCATGTCGGTGGCCAAGAGGGTCGCCGAGGAGTTTGGCTGCCGGCTCGGACAGGAGGCAAGACCTTAAGCCCGGTTCACTGAACGGTTACCTGGTTCACTGAACAGTTACCCGGTTCATCGAACAGTCACCACAGTTACCACATTAGGGATGACTGAAACATAGGTCAAGGTCATATGAGCACTGTAGCTTCATAATGGCTGTATTGCTTATATGACCTAGACATCGGTACATTGCGTGAAAACCCTGGGTCATGTGACACTCCCCGATGTCACGTGACATGACGTCATAATATTACAACATCATGATGCCATGTAACACTTGAGATCACATGACACCGTAACGCTACGTGATGTCATGGTCACGTGACCTCATGACATTATAGGATGTTACACACACGCACAGCATGTGCCCAGCCGGTCCGCAACACACCCTGTGTGTCTCTGTGTTCGTCAGACATAATCAAGATGTGCCTACATTTTACTCGCGTCAGTGGAAGCTGGCTCAAATGCACTAAAATTACTGGCATTCTTTATTGACCTCTTAGCTACTAATCACAAACGTTGCCTGTGTCATTCATTGTGGACCAGAAAACCCGACCACCAGTGTGGCTCATGTTTCGAAGCTTGTTTCGTGTGCTCTCTGATGGATGGCGATGCTACCACTGTTGTCCTGCCTCCACTTATTTTGTTTTTAGTTCCAAATTTTATCAAAAATAAGCTCTATATCAACAAAAAAAAGAAAGAAAGACCTTCAGTGCAGCAAAAGTTGCTTTGGCCTCAATGCAGAGGTTGACTTTAACTGATAAAGAGATACAGAAACTTTTATTTGAAAGTAGTGAGTGTTCCACCGTTTCCAACGACAAGTCGTGCCATCTCTCCAATGACTTGGCAATTTGACCACACATTCACTCAATCTCAGGATGTTGTTTGTTGCTCTCCACCTTCCCGAATGCTTCCAGCAGTACCACGCAGTGAAGAACTATTAAATGGACACAACAGGTGGCAAGGAATTACTAGTGAGAGCAACAAACAACATCTGCAGGACGAATGAATGTTTCCTTTAATTTTCATACAAATTGCTAATTTTAAATTAATTTACTTGGTATGTTTAACGAAGAAAAAAAAAAGAGAAATAGCATGCAATGGGTTAATGGCTTGTGCGTCTTTGTTAATTTGAAACAGGTTGGCTATACAATCCGTTTCGAAGACTGCACAAGCCCGGAGACGCTCATCAAGTACATGACAGACGGCATGTTGCTGCGAGAGTGCCTGATTGACCTGGACCTGCTGTCCTACTCCATCATCATGCTGGACGAAGCCCACGAGAGGACCATACACACGGACGTCCTTTTCGGTCTCCTCAAAAATGTTTGTGCCATAGTTCCTAGCTCTGCAGCAACTGTCTTGTGGATTCCCTTTTGGTGGGCCCGAATTCTGGCCAATGTGCCCGTAATTCAACAGAGTTATAAGCGCCGTGTAACTGAATTGAAAGCTAGAGAACCCAGGTTTTATGTTTTCCAGCTTATAAGTCGCAGTTTTTACTTCGAACTCCCGTCGGTGCGACTTGTGTCTTCTTTTCTTATGAATATGGACCTTAGCTGTGCATGGAAGGTGTAGTCTGTGTCAGTGTTTACAACCAAGGAGATACATCAAAGCACCCACTGATGGCCTGGGTGTTCCGGCGGTCCTAAGACGGGCCTAGATCCGTCGGATGTAGGCTTCGGGTACCACGGATCGACTTTCTTGTCATCTGCGCCTGGCAGTAGGGTGACTTCCTGTGGAGGCGATGGCCGGCACATGAAAACGAATTTCCTGCGGGAATGATATTTCTTGTTTGATTTATTGACGAGAATACCGAGTCCGGCTCCTGCTTGCGCACATCTCTCGATCACATACGCATATGTGGGCTACCAAATGCAATTTCACCGCGCCAACCGTACAGACATTCGACTTGCGTACCAATTTTTTTGTGAAAACAGCTATTTATAGAAGGTGCAACTTATAGACTAGAAAATATGGTAGTCTAGATTAAATGTGTACTTTGCAACGAGTGTGTCGCATGTTCAGAATAGTAGGTTTAGTGAGCAGACTGCCCAGAATTTTGTATGTCTACACTGCGATGCCCAATCTGCTCTCCCCTCCTTAAAGTGGTTAAATTTTCTAGGTTACTTGTGTCATTTGTACCGTAAAGCATGGAAAGAATCTGCGTACAAGAAAGAAGCAAGGGTAGTGTCCCACCAAAAGCTTTGTACATATGGGCAGTTAACTTGTGGTGCTTTCTTCTGCCTCTTTCTAGGCGGTGAAGAAGCGCCCACAGCTGAAGCTGATTGTGACGTCGGCCACATTGGATGCGGTCAAGTTTTCCCAATACTTCTTCGAGGCGGTACGTTGACGGCACTTTGCTCCAATAAATGTTTCAGTAATGTGTACATGCCATCAATTATTTTATTTTTTTTTGTAAGCGAATTTATATTATACTACCGTAATATCCCGAGTCATCGCCCACCCCCCAACCGCCTGAAATTCGTTAAAAAAGTGGGGTGGGCCATGTCTCGGTGGGTAAGCACAAACACTTGAAAAAAAGCGGAAAAAACCGCCTGTTTTTCTCTGCGTATCTAGTGCTGATGCAAAAGAGATACATCAAACTCAAAACTCGATTCAGTGTGATTGTTTTATAGAAAAATAATGCTCACGAAAGAATATTTTACTATAGCGAAGTCCGTTGCTTGCATACGCGCTAGAAACACCGCCGATCTGCATATAGCACGAACGTTTGTTCCGTGAAAGAATGTCACCATTATGTTCTCCTAGTTAGTAAAAAAAAAAAAAAGAAAGAAAAGTCTACAAGAAAATGGAAAAACCGACCAGGCGCAACGAGCGAGCGAGCGGACCAAAGAAGCGACCAAGAGCAATGCTGGGAAAGCGGGAAAGCCGGCGGTCGCGTTGGCAAATACTTTGGCGTCGGGCCAAGTGGGGCGCCTTGTCAATTGCAAGCTCTTGCGCAACTTTCTTGTTTGGTGCGTACATACGTGCGTCCGTGCACGGCGGGCTATCAATGCACGGTTGGGACGCTCTGCAAACGTCTGTGTAGGACGTTCCAGCAAAGTTTATTTACGCTTTGGCTTTGCCTAAAATATTGCACAACAGCGGTCGCGACGGGCGGGAAGAAGGAGCGGGTTCGCGGTGACCTTACTTCGGCGGAGACAGACTTTGACCTAACACTCCGCGGTTACGTTAACAAACTCTTATATTGTTATCTCCATCGTTTTCTTTTCGCACGGATACACGACCACTTTGGGGTCGCTCACGGAGGAAATGCGTAAACAAAAAGAAGTGTCTTTCCCTTCTTCGTTTTACTTTGTCACGGACGTCCTCCAACTGTAAGGTCCGCGGCCGCGTCATTCGGGTAGGATGAGTGATCGCAGAGTCCGCGCTGGGGTATTTGAAGGGGTGGGCGATGACTCGGTGTTTTTTCGGAAATCGATATTGGCCCAAAAAATGGAGTGGGCGATGACTCGGGGATGGGCGATGACTCGGGATATTACGGTATGTGGAATTCCGTGTTTTTGGAGGTCATTTCTCGTGAAATTTGAAGGGTGTTTTTTGGAGTTTATTTTTTGCTGAAAATGTTGCGTTTATCAAAGCTAATTTTTGTTAGATTCCCAATTCGCGAAAATTCAGAATTTATTTTATTGTGTTTCCAATTTTTAAGACTTAAAAAAAAAAAAAAATAAGTAAAGTCCGGGTACCATGACCCATTGTCTAACCTTGACAGGCTAAACGGTAAACCCCTTTTGTCAGTAGTCCGAGATTTCAGAGGAAACCGAAGTGGGATCGCTTCAGGACAACTGACCCTGTGCTCTTATAAAGTTTATTTGTAAAACACCGTCTTTTTTTTTTTCTTTTTATTTTGTCATTGTGACCTCAAAATTCAGTTTTTCGGATAAATCTGAATTAACGAAAAATTTATCCGAATGAATTAAAAATTTACTGGTGAGTACTTTCCAGATTCTTTTGGATTTATTCGAAAATATGGAACCCTAATTATATGGTTCATATCTTGTACTAGCCTTGTGTGTATATCTGTGACATTTCTGAAATGTGTAGCAGGCAGCTTGTATGAAACCAAACTAGCCTGTGATGGTCAGGTAGCATAATAAGTCAAAGGATAAAGGACACTTCAGAATGAGGGAATTTCCTGTTCCATGTGGGAGCAATGCATGTTCATGGGTTTGTTTTATGGTGGGACTGCAGAAGCAGCAAACTACTAACTAATTGCTTAATTAAAAATATAAAAAAATACTTTTCACGGACATGTTGAAGTGGCGGCTTATGTAGCATTGAAGGCATTGCTCCCATTCCTTTTTACTGTCCACAGCCCATCTTCACAATACCGGGAAGGACTTTCCCAGTTGAGATTCTCTACACAAAGGAACCTGAGACTGACTACCTGGACGCTTCGCTCATCACCGTGATGCAGATCCATCTTACCGAGCCTCCAGGTTGGGAGAAATATTTGCAAACAACTCTGATTCTGCTCTCAGACATTAAAAAGATTAAGGCTTATTTTACGGTAAACTGTAGGGTGCCCAACATTGACTCTTGACAATGGTCATTTTTCCAGGATTTGTCCTCCTGTAAGGCCCTTTACTATTTCCTTAATAAAGCATTAAACGGGCATAGTATTTGTGGCACTTTAAAGCCAGCAAGTTCCGACAAAGTTCAGACGCGCTGTTGAGAATTTTTATAAATGAGTAGCCTTAAATGGGTAGGGATTCGTAAAATGGAGGAATAGTAGTATAAACTCATTAGAAGAGACTGTGATAGTGATGAAGATTTTGGTCCGTCATAAAAGGAGTATGCAGGCCGCAGACATTCCTACTACAGAATTTGAGGTTGGTTATGACTGGAGTCTGTTATAATCAGTGAGACTGACAAAATGTAAATGGATAACAGAAAAGAAATGGTTTATTTGAACATCTGTACTTTGGAACATCGTGATTTTTACAGCGAAGCTGTTATGCGCTAGGATTTGGGAAAAAATGTGTCCCCGGATGTTGACAGAAAACTCCCCATTGGTCGGGGCAAGTATGAATAAATAAAAAAAGGAGGCAACCAGCGTGAGTCAGCCTTCCTTGGCATTATTAGATAAGTGAGGTCCTGATCCCTTGTTATTATCTCTAGGCTTTGTCCTCAAGGTCGTACTAGAAGTCGTCCTTGAGGTCATCCTAGATGTTGTCCTTGAGGTCGTTTTAGTAGTCGTCCTCGAGGTCGTCCTAGAAGTCGTCCTAGACGTCGTCCTAGAAGTCGTCCTTGAGGTCGTCCTTGAGGTCGTCCTAGACGTTGTCCTTGTAGTTCTCGAGGTCGTCCTAGAAGTCGTCCTTGAGGTCGTCCTCTAGGCGTTGTCGTCGAGGTCATCCTAAAAGACGTCATGAAAATAACAGCTTCGCTGGTCTTCCATCTTCACGTGAAGTGGAAATTTTTTAATTGAGCTGTCCCAATGATCGTCATCACTGCGCGCTTTGGATCGTACGAGGTTTGCGAGGTGTCGAGTGTGATGACAGCACTTAGCAAAATGGGCGCCATCGCTACCGAACCAGCCATGCAGTGTCCAAAATAATGACTGCTGTCAGAGTCCACCATAATGGAATGGTGAACTACTTACAAACTCCCTAATATACTAGTCTACAGTAAAACCTCGTTATAACAAAGTTGAAGGAGCGGTCGTAATTATTTCGTTATAACCATTAGTTTGTTATAGCCAATGTCCATTTCTTCCCACTGTTAGCAAGCAAGGGGAATTATGATTGCTTTGTTATATCCATTAGTTTGTTATATCCCGTTTTGTTATAACGAGGTTTTACTGTATTATATTCAAATGTATACGTTATAACAGAATCTGTAATGAGCGAAGTTGGCTCAATGGCATAAATGGAAGACCAACCAAACTTTGCGAATCGGTACGTTGTAACTGAATGTCTGCTGTAACCATATCTGTTGGAACAAGGTTATACTCTATATTTTGAAAGGTTTTAAAGATTTCGAGGCTCTTATTACAATACTCGAAACTTGGAAGTTTTAAACCTTGGTTTCTGCGACCGAGTGCACTTATGCTTCGTTTACTTCCCAGGCGACATCTTGCTGTTCCTGACCGGTCAAGAGGAAATCGACACCGCCTGCGAGATTCTCTACGAACGGATGAAATCCCTCGGGCCGGACGTGCCCGAGCTGATCATTCTTCCTGTCTACTCGGCACTGCCCAGCGAGATGCAGACGAGGATCTTCGAACCTGCCACGCCGGGTTCCAGAAAGGTATATACTTTCCTTTCGGATGTCTGTTACCTTCGTTCCTTTAGAAACTGAGGTCTCGTATAGATTGCACTGCTGCTTCAGTGTTTAAGGTGTGGCAACGGACTGGCTCTATGCGGAGCACATGTTCGTCTGCTTCTTTTGCAGGGGTTGTGGCGACGTCAAAACGCTAAGCTGTGATTGGCTCTGGTTGAAGGACAGTGGATAGAACTCAAAGCAAGCCGCCTTGAGGTCTACCCACTAGTATTCTTCAATCAGAACCACAACCCCTGCAAAAAAAAGCAGACGAACTTGCGCTCCACTTACCTTTTCTTTTTAAAGTGATAGCGTTATACGGGAATGCTGCACATACCTCGCTTGCTCATGTTGGTGTTGGCCGCATTGAAGGGAAGAGAGAGCATCAGCAACAAAGCGCAGCTGGTGGTTTGCTCTCATAGCACGCATGACCAATGGATACAGAATGCATTGTGAAATTCTTAAGGCAGTTTTATTTGCCCACCTCTTGAGAATTGTTTTGTTTGTTCTAATTCTGGGTCACATGGGCACCCATCCCGGTGCACTGCCAGACTGCACGGTGGGGACTGTCTTACAGACCATGAATTTATCTTGCTACTATGCATGACCATACATCTTATCTTGTAATCAGCGGCCCGTGGAATGTTTTGGAGGAGGTCCGAAAATGGTCCGCGTCGATATGGGGCACAGTCGACAACGTGAAGCTGCAAAGTGTCCCACTAACAGCTATCGCTGTAATAGACCCATGAAGTGCCTTTGTACCTCCGCCGCACTCGACCAAACGTCTAAGCCAGGCGACTTTCTTTGCCACTCTCAGGTTGTGATTGCTACCAACATTGCCGAAACATCCCTGACCATTGATGGAATCTATTATGTCGTCGATCCGGGCTTTGTGAAGCAGAATGTGTACAACCCCAAGACCGGAATGGATTCCCTGGTCGTCACCCCGATCTCACAGGTTTGTGGTCTTGGATGTTTTCTTGGAATTGGAATTGTGAGATGACTGTTTGCAGCATTTGTATGTGATGTCGCTGTTGCTGAATGAAACTAGCAAATTTATGCTTTTTTCAGAGACTATTTCTGCTAAGCTTTAGATTTCTTAATGCTTCTACTAGAATCCTGATCAAAATTGTCTGAGTGAATGTACCCTTTCATAGCCGTGAAAGGTGCCATTTTAGTGGAAAGTATGGTAACCACAAGAGACGGGTCGTCCAAACTGGTTGGGACTTAGGCAGTGCTACTCGTGAGTGAATCTATACAGCGAGCAGGTTCATCTGCTTCTTGCACAGGGGGTGCAGTCACGTCACAGCACTGAGCTCAGGTTGGAACGATATAGTTGGTGGACATGTCACAGCATCAAGCTTTGATTGGAGGATGCATAGTGGGTAGACATAAGGGCAGAAGTGTGTCCGCTCCTTGTGCAGAGGGTGTTTGGAGTCAGAGTGCCAAACTCCAGCATTGCCTGCAAGTCGTAGCAACGGGTACAATCTTGATTTACAAGAAAAGGAGCATGGCAGTCATCGACTGCTCTGTACTTGCAGTGTTACAAAGTGGGGGCCATGGCAGCTGCCACACTTGATTCGCAAAGCACATATGCAACCATGACCGTTTTTTCATGGCGCTGCCAGTGTGGAGCAGTTAGTGATCATGCCTTCACTTTGATATGAATTGCGACTGAACATGGTTTGACCTACTAGCACTTGACAGATGGGCTGCAACGAACAAAGAACACACGGCCGAGGCATTGTTCACTCCCTCTCACATTTTTTAATCTCCTGCTCTCATGCACGGAAAGGTTACTTACTCTCTGTATCATTCCTCTTCGCTCCCGTGCGAAGGGACACATTTGCCCGCCATGTACACCTGGTTTAATTCCACGAGTATGTTCCAACGATCCGGCGAGAATGTCTGCATAGAATGTGGCCAGTGCTTGTGAATACACCTATAGACCTATTCTAGTCCTATCGGTATGTTCTAATGGTTCAGTAAGTAAGTAAGTAAGTAAGACCAAGCCCTCCTAACCACAGGCCCAGGCCAAGCAGAGGGCGGGGCGTGCCGGTCGCACGGGGCCGGGCAAGACGTACCGGCTCTACACGGAGCGTGCGTACCGGGATGAAATGCTCACCACCCCAGTGCCCGAGATCCAGCGCACCAACCTGGCCTCCACGGTGCTCCAGCTCAAGGCCATGGGCATCAACGACCTGCTCTCCTTCGACTTCATGGACGCGCCCCCCACAGAGGTGGGCCCTCGCTCGTGGCCGGTGCTGCTTTAGACCGCCTCCGCGGCTTAATGCGGGATTTCTCAAAATTATTAATCTTGAAGGACACATATTTGTCTTGGATGGCAGTCAAGGAGCCTTCCCTGTCTTGACATTGATCCACTGAAGTGGTGGGGAAGCTTACAGACCTTATAAACAATAACACACATGCTGAGGAGGGCTCTCAGTTCTGCTGCAGTGGTGGCTGAGGCCTGCTAAAATAGTGCTTAAAGGGAAACTGATGTTTTAGTACTTAAGAAAAAATTGGCTGTATGTTTGGTCACTCTGCCAAATTTATTTAAATGTTGTAGCTCTATAGGGTGGGCGGTGCGCTTACTTCGGGTGGTTCCTAGGAGAGGGTTTTGTATGGAAACATGTTGCATCACATAATTGTCTATTTGTGATGCTGTGTGCACACTTCCCTTCAGCACCACCTGGATGCAAAGCCTTTGCGCTAAAGTTTCTGGATCACCAAGAGAGGAAAAGCATGCCCTTTCTACCTTCCCTTCATGCCTTCCCTTTCATGCCTTCCCTTTCATGCCCTTCTCTTTCATGCCCTTTCTACCCTTCCCTGCTCCGCACTCGTTTTACATCGCCTCTTTCTGCTCTCTTTCTTGCCCTTTCCACCCCTCTCTGCTTTGAGCTCTTTCTATACCATCTTTTTCTGTTCCTCTCTTTTCTCGTTCTTTTCACCCCTCTCTGCTCCGCACGTTTTCTCGCACCGCCTGCTTCTGTTCCTCCTGTTCCTAGATGCTATAATTGTAGCTCAGTCAGCAGCTCACTCAGCTTCTATGCTGGTGACGGGGGTTCAATGCCTAGCACCGGTTGCTGTTTTTTTTTTTTTATTTTTTAGCAGTTAGGAACTAACCAACCGCCATATTTCATGCTTACGCAGCTCCTGAGGTTGGTTGGTCCTATAAAGCTGCCGCTTTAAGACACTCTGATCACCTTTATTTGGCCTCCAAGATCAAGAATAGGAAAATTGTTTCTTAAATTGATGCGCCGAGTAGCCATAGCAAAGTTTTCAAAATAACGCTAAAGCCTCTTCTTCCTGGTGCGGGCAGTATTAGCAGATAATCGTGACGTGTTATGCAGAATTCTCAACACTTCTGCGCCCGTGAGCTTTGCAGGTGAAGTCATGAACGTGGTTGCGGTTCACCCTTTTTGCTAAAGTTGTTGGCCCATGTCTTTGTTAAAGGAGCTGTGCAACAATTTTAGTGCTTTGCTTAATTATTGTGGCAGTTGGTGTCTCGACCCTTCTGAAGTAAAGAACAAAAAAGCCGCTTTTGCCTGCTTGTCCTAGTTTTTATTTAAAAAAAAAAATGACAAAGATTGAGGTTTATGGCTTTTCTCAACCCGTTCACTATCCTCCGAGTCATGTGCGCTCTGACGTGAAAGGGGGGGGGGACGCACGGGGTCCTAGTGAAGTTCTCTCTAGTGCCATAAGTGAGCAGCGAGAACTCACCCGCTCGCGACCATGTGACCACGTGCTAGCGCTGCGCGATTGACATGGTGACCGGCTGCAGGCAAGGTGGAGCTCCAGGTGCTGAAGTACAGCGAGTCTCTGGGGAGTTTTAGAATAACGTACGCAATTTTAGCGCTAAATTTAGCGCTTGCGTTAGCGCGCGACACATGAGAGTCTTGGAACAGTGTCTCTCCGCCGCGACGCAAAAGCCCAAGCATCTCGCGCTTGCAATGCCACCAAGATGAGTCATGATTTTTATTTTACATACGAAATGCTAAAACAAGTTTTTTGGTCCAGTGAAACATTTTACATTTGTTTAAATGGGAGAATGCGACGCAAGCGGTCAACCGGTCGCGTCCGCATGCGTCGCCTCGGCAAGAGAGGTCTCGTGTACTGACCTTCGCCAATAAATGTTTGCGCGTCGCAAGTATCAAGTTGCCGGTGATCATTGCTCACCTTACTGGGTTTTCCAAACTGTGTGCAATGTCGTCCCACATTGAAAATTGCAGTTGCGAGGATGCCGCCGACGTCGCGCTCACGACGCCACCAAAGCGGCCACAGCCAGCCGCAGCCATGGTCCTGGGAGCCGCCATTCTTTAACTCTGCTCGTCTTGGCTTTAGCCAATTTCTCATTACAAATCCACCTTGGAGGAGCGCAAAGGCTCCTCCAAGGTGAATTCGCCTCCGACGTTGTGCTCACGACGCCGCAAAACGTGGTTAGCGTTCGGCGCATGCGCAGTGGCGACGATGCTATTCTTTGCGTACGTAAAGCTTTAGCGCGTGCTATTCTATAACTCCCTACTGAGACTCGTTCCGTATGCGGGAACGCTGTCCAAGCGTCCCAGCAAAGAGGACGCACAAGCAGTGCTCGAGAGACCGAAAAAAGAAAGGAGTAAAGTGCGAACGTGCTCGTCCGGCTTCTGGCGGCGGCTCTTCGCGGTAGCAGTTCGAGCCGACGGTTTGGTTGACCTCCGATAGATAGCACCACTGAAACGCCGTATAATAAAAATTTTGTCGATGATACCAGGTTTTTGACACATTTATATTTATGTTGGAGCAACAAGATTTTTAAAAAAATTACCTTTCATTGAGGAGGTAGTTGCACAACTTGCAATCTTTTTACAAGTCCCCCTTTGACGTCACGTCGCATAATTCTCATGGCCGCCACTCGCGGCCTCAGATCGGGAAATATTTTAATTTTTGCCTCGCGACTGCACGGCAGAATCGCAACATTTCGAAGGAAGGAAGTATGTTTTCTGTTCTTTGTGACAAGATTAACAATGTCAACAGTACAAGAGCCAAATTCTTTCAACAATAAAATTGTTGCACAGCTCTTTTAATAAAGGTAGTGCACCTCTGTGCTTGTTCTCGAAGTGGTCTATGGGTGCAAGGTAGTTTTAGGGCTTGGCTTCATGATGGTGACTTTACCATGCCATACTTGTCTGCGGTGAGATGTGTGACAGCCCATGCACCTTGAACAGTCATGTATCGAGCTATGCAAGCACACCCTTCACTTCTTCATAAATACCACGAAAACTGTGGAAAGGTGTCCAGACTGGTGTCTCGGGTGTGAAAACACATGCAGCATCTGCGTGGAGGCAACTTTCGCAAGCTTGCCACTGCACACATTCACTCACAATTGGCACCTGCCAGACATTTGAAAGCTCTGGGCATGTCATACCCTGCAGTTGGTTTTTTGTTTTTAGTGCATCTAGTGATAGTACGTTCCGCTCTACTGCTTGTAGTGTTAGGATCCACGAAAAAAGAAAAAATGCTAAAATTCGCCTTAGCTTGTTTTCTTTAAGAACCTCTTCAGCTTCGCTTTAAACTGGAAAAACAGTTAGCATTGAAGAGGATTATGATGCCGTCTCATGGAATTATTCGAAATAGTTATTTTAGCTCTGCCTTAACCCAGGGAAAACCTTGGTCTTAAAAAGTATGTAAAAAAAAAAGAGAAAAAAATTATATACAAGTTACACATGGCATATTTTATAAGTACTACACCCAGCAAGTGCACATTTATATGTACAGTTACATCAATTCAAAGTTTCATACCCAGGCTGTTTACAGGCTGTTTACAGGCTTGTTTTGAAAAGCTCTTCCTGTTTTCTCAAGATAAATTTTTTTCATCACAACACAAAGATTTGCCCATGGCGGTCTTTGGATCTACAACTTAGATCTGAATACATTTTCTAGGATTGGATGTCTGATAAATAAGAGAGTGCAACAAAACCAGTATTGTTGAAAAATGTTAACGACTAAATTTTATTGCTGGCAAGGACTTCAATTATTATTTCTTAATCATCAGCAAAGTAATTTTAACTTGTGATATACTTTTATAAAATGAAGCTAAAGTTATAAGAATGGTTTTGCTGCTCTCTTTATTGTTTGTAGAATATGCAGACATACCGTAGAATACCGTGCAACCGCCCATACCACATTAAGCGCCCATTCCCAAATTTGTAAAATCTGAGAAAATATGCACAGTACATTGATATGTAGAATTGATGACCGGACAAGCGCCCATCCCCCATTTTTTCAAGATTATCTCAAAATCTTGAGTGGGCGCTTGCCCGGTATTTTACGGTAATAGGAACACAATAGCTTGTTTGTGCTTAGCATGAAAAAGTATAACACAGGGTGTCACAAAAGAAAATTTACACGGTCTTTTTTACCGCAAAAATAAACTAGACATCGCCGAACGCTTATTCTCCGTCTAAAGGTAGCGCTAGAGGTCGCAACCAGATGTCAAAGTTTCAGCCCGATCCGATAACTTAATCAAAAGTTACAAGTGATTTTCTGAAATTTTCAATGGGAGAATGGCGGCCGACGGAGTTTTCAAACACATGGGGCTCTATAACACCAGAAACCGAAAACGGGCAAAAATGGGCTCCATTTTCCCATTGAAATTTTCAGAAAATCCCTTGTAACTTTTGATTGAGTTATCGGATCGGGCTGAAACTTTGGCATCTGGTTGTGACATCTAGCTCTACCTTTGGGCGGAGAATGAGCGTTCGGCGATGCCTAGTTTATTTTTGCGGTAAAAAAGACCGTGTAAATTTTCTTTTGTGACACCCTGTAGGAGTGAGAATTTAATATAAATGAGATGAGAAACAACAAAAAAATGATCCAAGACCAGGGTTTCCTCTTGACCCATTGTTACTTTTTGGGTGAAAGATCCTGCAATGTATGTTTGTTTTGGATAGTGGCTGGCTACCATCACGAATCAGTATATCTGGTCAATCAGTGGCCCAGGAGTTTGCCAGAGGACTATTACTGCTAGGTAACCAGGTTCGTAGTCAAAAAAGAAAAAAAAAAAAAAATTATTGTGCGAGTATGTTTATACAGCCTAGAATGACGACTTGTCTCCCAGCTGTCGACGAGAAATTTAGCCAGTACCGTACAAACCGCTAGCCTGGGGTCTTTTGCGTGCACCATGCAGTAGTGATACCTGACCGAACTCTGGTACGATGCTCATCCAGATTGAAACAGGCACGGCAGGGGTGGGGATTGAACCCAGGATCCCTGGGTTATGCAGCGCAAGCTTTTGCTCCTTGTGCTCCGAGCTGGTGTGCGCTAGCCCACTCGGCCACTGATCCCCCCTTTGGTAGTTCGAGATATGGTTGTACAGTTCAGCAACAGGTCACACAATCATTTTGACCAGAGACAAAAAAATCTGCATTCCTGCTTAGCATACGATTGGAATCACACCCATGACTCAATCTCAAGGACGTCTGCATTTCTAGGCACACGTTTTAAGTAAAACGGTTGTTGGACACACACCAAAGGATTTGGGCACATTTTGGGTAACTGGCTCAAAGCTCCCTGTGGAGAGCTCCCTATTTTGCACACTTGCTTTTGTCTGTTAAACTTGAGCCATGAATAGCATTGTGAGAAGTCAGTAGAAATGCAACAATTGCAAAATTTTCTTTCAGACCCTGATTATGGCCCTGGAACAGCTTCATTCCCTAAGTGCTCTGGACAACGAGGGACTGCTGACTCGACTTGGGAGGAGGGTGAGTGGCATGTTTCAGCAGAGCCTAGCTAGTGTTCGAATACAGATAGCAGATGAATGCATTCTGCTCGGGGGCACATTGGAAGACGTGCCTTTCTGATGGAAATTTCCTTGGTCTTGCCAGATGGCCGAGTTTCCCCTGAGTCCCAACTTGGCCAAAATGCTCATCATGTCGGTGCACCTGGGATGCAGCGAGGAGATCCTGACTGTGGTCTCCATGCTGTCAGTGCAGAACGTCTTCTACAGGCCCAAGGTGCGTGTCGAGTCTCCTTGATGCCAACTTGCACTGTGGTTGCATGAACTGATGACCACGGCACAATATATGGAGATCTAAGTTACAGAGAATTTCTTAATGAAGCAAGGGTGCAGGGTAAGGGGAATTAAATTGCAGCTATGAACAGCCTTTTTTTTTATGCACATTTCTTATTGACAGTGCTCCTCAAACTTAATGCTGCCACTGGGTCAGCCAAATATTGATCTGTTGCTAGCTACTTAAAACTAATAGGTCACTGCAGCAACTGAAATGTCTTCCCCAGGCTAGGTTGTGATTGGGGAGTCGAGTTTGCACCTTATAGTTAGACCGGTAGGTGAAAAAACAACACAAAAGGCTCAAGGTACACCTAAGCACTTCTTATGAGTTGTAAATGCGAAAGCATGGACATCATTCTTCCGTTCCCTTATTTCGTCTGCAGCGTATTTGCGTCGACAGCCACGCAGCGCCATGGGGTGGCCGGCCATTGAAACTAATGCGCAGCGTCAGTTTCAACGATTGGCCACCGCATGGCGCTGCGTGTCAGGCGTATGGGAGCCTCATCGACACGCGCCAGCCAGTAGGACTGAAGCCGAAAAGCCATCAGCTTTACTTCGCTTATTCGGAATCGGGGAAGCTAGGTGCCGTGTCTAGGCTTTTCGCGTGCTTTCATAGCTGGGAGCTGGCTTTATGTGGAGAAAGGATTTAAGGTGCCGTTTTCGTGCTTCAAATTGATGATGTCTCTCACTCCATGAGACAGTTAATGCTTTCAGATTAAAAAGTGCCAAAAATGGACCCTCACATGGTGGCATTCAGATTGGGGAGAACTCTACATATTTAATTACTAGCAGATCACGTAACCTCTCATTTATTTGTAAAGCATCAGACTCTGATGTTCCCATACCTGTATTTCAAATGTGCATTTACATGGACACTTGATCTAGAAGAGATAACAAGCGCTGTATTTGGAGGAATCATCTTGTTCTTATTTCTATATAGACAAAGTGATTACCACTTCTCTTCAGGCTTCATTTGTAAGGTGGCGAGATCTGGAACTCCCTCGTTTTTTGTTTGTCATAGAAAGGTGGTCTGTTAATGCATAAGCATTAACCGTCCTATGAAGCGAAGCTGGCATTGTCTAGCCGTTCGTAGCAGAAAAACGGCACCGAAATTCCCATTGGCTGTGACGCTTCATGTGGCTCCATAGCAACGGTGTCATCGTTGCTAAGGGGCCAGCCGAACTGCTGGCGGCGCAGCTGGAGTGGGGTACGCGGGTATACACTGGCCTGACGTTGAGCCTAACGTTAGGCCTTTCGTTACGCTTTGAGGTCTAACATCGTCAACCGGTGCACACAGCTAAGGCGATGATTATGATGAGAGGACACGTAATTCACCAGCACGCGCCGCGCTGAGCTTTGCACTCCTGGCACCGTGCTGAGCTTCGCACCCCAGCCGTTGCCTCACCCAGCGGGGCAGCAGTCACCAGCAAGCCAAAGCGGTCTACACGGCGCACCACCGCCCTCCCTGCCGGCACTGCGGCCCCTTCTGCTCCTCTTGGCGCCGAGAATGCTTTTGCATTCACAACTCATAAGAAGTGCTTAGGTGTTCTCGAAATTTTTCGGTTCTGGTTTCTAGACCAGCCTTACACCTTCTGTCTCGTGGTCCAGAGAAATTTCGTGCGACCAATTCTTGAATGCTCGTCGACTTTCCATGCACCAGGACAAGCAAGCCCTGGCCGACCAGAAAAAAGCCAAGTTCAACCAGCTCGAGGGCGACCACCTGACCCTGCTCTCGGTGTACAACTCCTGGAAGAACAATAAGTTCTCCAATGCCTGGTGCTATGAGAACTTTGTCCAGATACGCACGCTCAAGAGGGCCCAGGACGTCAGGAAACAGCTGCTCGGGATCATGGACAGGTCGGTGCTTGGGGCCCCATTAGAGATCAGACGAGATAGAGTAGCAGCTATATAATGTATGTCGCTCTAGTAGTTTGTGCCTCGACCTCGGTTAGCATGTTGGGAACACTGAAGATTTCCACTTCCAATAGCCTTTCCATTGCCGCATTAATGTGGGCAATACTATCCACCAGTTACTGTGCACAGGCCGGCCCAAAGCTGGCTGACCTATGTTGCAGATCAGTTGCATTCTTGGTGCATGTTTGGAGTGACAGAGTTTCAAGAAATGTTTAGAGGTGCAGCAGGTGAGGGCAGTGCAAAACGCTTTTAGTGTATTCTAATCACATTGTTCCTCTAGGTTCTGATGGGGACAAGCTCTGCAGTAACATTATGTGTCTTCGTCTAACATTTCCCATGTATTCATTTATGGTCCCTCAATTTCTGCCTGATGACGTCATAGAACTGTTATGCTTCCGTCTGCTGCGGTCCTGGTGGTGGCTTAGCAGCGGAGGTGAATGCAAGACACTGATTCCAATTGTACGCTGCTCTTCAGCTTCACAGTCCACAGAAACATCGGCAGCCACGAGTTGGGACGACATGCAGACGGCGACACTCGTGCTTTCCGTTGGAGCTTGTACAACCATCCACCGGTGTTGCGACATCCAACAGTATGACACGCCAGCTCCTGTAATCTAATTTGTCGCCATTTTGAGACTAGTTCCGACACGTGGCTGATATGAGATGCCACGCACGCCAGCCAGAGACTTGCCTTAGGCACCGTAGTAAAACTCTTGCCCCAGTGCATTCCCAAGTGGAAAGGAATATTGACTATTTTTTCTGCAAGTCGCCTTTACGGATTTGATTGTTGGCGTGTTCTAAAACAGTTTGTCGTTCCCTGTTGTGACATTTGTGCAGGCACAAGCTGGACGTGGTGTCATGCGCCAAGAACACGGCTCGCGTGCAGAAAGCCGTGTGCAGCGGCTTCTTTAGAAACGCAGCCAAGAAGGACCCCCAAGAGGGCTACCGCACCCTGGTGGACGGCCAGGTGGTCTACATACACCCTTCCAGTGCCCTCTTCAACCGCCAGCCAGAATGGCAAGTGTCGCACAATATGTGTAGGGAGGGGGCGTTAGACGGCGGAGTGCGTTGGCGCACCACAGTTTGGAGCACTTGGAGCAAAAGCTCATGCTGTAGATACCAGGGTTCCTGGGTTCGATTCCCACGCCTTCTCATTTCGACCTGAACAGGCGCCGTACCGGCAAGCGGTCATGGATCATCACTGCGGGGATGCTCGTTAAAGGGGTGCTCGGACATTTTCTTCGTAGTCCCCAATTTGCCTGAAACTTTGCTAAACACACCAGCGAACATTGCTGAAATAGAAACCCAGATATTTGCCAATATCACTTTTTTTTGCAGTTATTGAATTTACAATTGTGGACCTCACTGTGTTTTTCAAAGTGAAAGTCCCTACTGGCAACAATGAAAAAATGCCGACAGCAGAAGGCAGGGGTTCACTCTTTGGACTGTAGACTTTGTTCCCAACTGACTACAAGCAGTTTCATGGTGAAGGTCGAACCAGCGGGTTCGAAAGGTTTGAGAATTTTTGCTTTCGCAAACTTTTTGCATTATTTTGTATTATTTTGAATTTCCAAACTTCGTCTATTTGAAAAATTGATTATTTCGAACTTAATGCATTAAGAAATTCGCAATTCACAAACTTTCAAACTTACTAAATTAAAAACTTCAACAATTTTCAAACTTCGAATTTGTTTTTTGTAAAGTTTGAAAAGTATCATACTTCCAAACCTGCCATCTTGAAAAGTTAGACGAACTGCGAATCTCATCAGGATTCAAAATTTTGCGCCGAAGGTTTTATTCGTTGCTCCTAGGTGGAGCCACCACACGACTTGTTGCCTCTTTTGCCCGTTGTTAGCGAGCCCCGACTGGCATTGACTGCCCCCACTTCGTTGTTTGCTGCTTCGGAAAGCGAGCAAAGCGTGCAACCCAACCGACTTAACTGCCAGCACACTGCATTTTGCGCTGTTTTGGTTGCACGTGCAGGCACGTGTTAGCAAGGGCAGAAGAATCGCGCAGAAGCAAATGGCTGAAGGCGAATTGCTTCTGCGGGTGAATGGAGTTTGTCTGAGGCGCCCTTCTCCCGAATGAACGGCGCGCGAGCCACAAATAGGAGAAGTTTTCGAGTCTAGTCCGCTGTACATCGCCACTCCATCGGAGGAAAACGCGTAGACAGCAGTACAGACCGCTCGAGTCAATGTTTTTAGAGAATCTAAAAGCATTGGCTCGAATTTAGAACCAAATTTCGTAACCAGTGTTTGGGTATGTGGATTTCAGTGTACATACAAAGCCTTGTTCTGTTTGAAGCAGTAGCTTAAAGATAAACAAGCTCTGGATGCTTCTGGGAGCCTGTTGGACCGCGTTTTTGGGGGCCTCGAGTTTAGTCGGTGGGTGCTGCTTGCTCTTTCGCTGTGTCGGGTTCTGTGTTGATTTTATTCTTGCTTGTGGCCCAGTAATTTTTTTGTTCTTGTCTGCCTTAAAATGAGCGTCGTCTTTCCCACCAGCCAGAAGTTGTGGCCAGGATCGAGTAGTATCGAAGTAGCGAGCACTAAATTAACTTTACCGCACGTGTAAGATTCATAGTAAAATTTCCGGAGCTCAGCTCGCAATGTTTACGGGAACTCCGGTCTTCGTTGGGTTTGAATACTTTGAACTTCGCGAGCTTAGGCTCCAAAAAATTCGATTGTTTCGACAAACCTGAAGCTCAGAGAAATTCGACATTATTGAATCTTGCAAGCCTGAATCATACAGAAATTGAAACCGTCAAATTTTGCAAACCTCAACCTTGAAAAAAGTTGAAACCGTCAATTTCGAATTTATAAAAACCTCGATGACTTCGAGCTTTGCAAATTCAGATCCGGGCAGTTTCGAACGTTCCAAACTTTGCGAAATCGAACCCCTGGGATGTTCGCAAAGTTAGAAAACCGTTGAATTCGAACTTTGGGTTGTTCGCGACATCCCTAATGCCAAGCGAATGCTTTGGAAGCTAGTCCAGCAGCAGCACCTAACAAAACAAATGCTTGGCACAGTCTGCCACTGGACGTGCAAGCCTGCTTTCCACTGACGTCACAGCACTGAAAAGTGCAGTTATATTTATGTTAGTTTCGGCATCATTTTCACTAGCCAATTTCGCAATAACTACAGTCGAGCCCGGTTATATCACACCCGGGTATTTCGAATTATTGTTTATATCGAACAGTCCAAACATCCCCTTGAAAATCACATGTAATAGTATACCAGCATTGTTTTTCTGTATTGAACTCCCATGGGCGGGAACACTTGATATAGCAAACAAAGCAAGGCCGCCCCTTGCTACTCCCGCGTTTAGATATCGCGCCTTCGGCCAGCACATGAGCACATTGCTCGCATTACGTTACGGGGCTGGCAGAACGCCAAGCCAGCATACGCACACGGGTATACACAACAAAAAAACAGTTGTCAAAAAAAAAAAAAAAAAGCAACCTTAAAAAAAAAAAGTGGAGGATGGCAAATGCAAGGGAAGGACACACGCATGCACGCATAGGGAGGGCAGAGAGTGCCCGCTGTTGGAGCGGTAGCGTGCGCTCTTTTCCCGAACACCGCTGTCGCTACGCAACTCCTTAACCCCAAAATAAAATAAAATTTTAAAAAAGTTTTAGACAAGTTGAGTGTGTCGACAACAACGGTTGAGCAATTGCACTTTAAAAACCTTATCTTTTTTTCTTGCCATACCGAAGGCGCGCGCGTACACAATCGCAAACACAGTCACATAAGTGTGGCGGTGTTTGCGATCTTCACCAACTATGCTCTACTGCATTTAGCAGGTCTTAGATGCTTTATTTCGTAATGTCCCATTTGTTGCGGCCTTCGGTATTAGCAGAGACGCGTGGAAATTTCAACTGGAGCTTAAGTTCACATGTATTTTGTATATCAAATTATCGATATATCAAACTATTTTACGATCCCGTTTGAATTCGATATATCCGTGTTCGACTGTACTCTAAATTTCGTGATACAGAATAGCATACTGGAAATGGTAAAGGCCGGTGATTCCAAAATTAGGTATAATTAGTTGGGGTAGCTCGAAAAATTGCTGCAGGTACTCCTTTTAAGACCTTGGGCTAGTGGCGGTACTGCACTGGCTAGATTTCTCACGTACAACAGACACCAGATTCCCATAAGAGCCGACAAGCTTACCGCTGTCTAAACATGCGCACAGGACAATTAATTACACTATGTGTAGAGCAAAGCACGGAATACTAGGTGTGTGCCTTCTTTCCAGACTTTCGGCACTTCTGCAGTGAAAAGAATGCATTGTGAAAACTCTGTCTCCAAAATTTTTTGGCGAACTGACGTGAGCACAAGGATGGGTGTAGTCCAGTTGATTGAACTTTGTTCAAACAGGTGGTTAACCTGGTTGATGAGCGTTTAGTTTCAGTACTTCCGGTTGCTTCAGGAAGACACACTGATACATAGTGTTGCACACTAAGCTTAGAAGTAATTGTGTAAACTGTGGGAGTTAGTCAGCCTGAATGCGTGTCTGTTGTCTGCTGTAGATGAGAAACTTAGCCAGTGCAGTACCACTGCTGGTCAGTCTTTAATGTGCATCATGCAGTGGTGATACAATCATGACACACGACTGCATGCCGGTACGAGGCTCATCCAGACCAAAGACGGGCAGGGGTGGGCATTGAACTCGGGATCCCATGGTACTTCGGTGCAAGTTTTGTGCCCAACTAGTGCACTTGGCAATGCTGTCAACATTGAAGATGTTTCCGACTTTCTAGGGTGGTCTATTACGAGCTGGTCCTGACAACCAAGGAGTACATGCGGGAGGTGACCACCATCGACCCCAAGTGGCTGGTGGAGTTTGCGGCGTCCTTCTTCAAGTTTGCCGACCCCACCAAGCTGAGCAAGCACAAGAAGCAGCTCCGGCTAGAGCCCTTGTATAACAAATACGAAGAGCCCAACGCCTGGCGAATCTCGCGTGTCCGCAGGCGCAGGAACTGAAATCATCACACTAGTCGAACAACATTCGCAAGATTCCGGAAGTGCAGCAGTTGTGTTCAAGAAGTGCCACGGACCAGCAAGTGTTTCTGGAACATTCTTTTTTATACATCCATTTTTTTCCTGTTTCACCGGACAGAAGTTTCTTTGGAGCAAGGCGATGCAAAGATTACGGAATTCTGAAATTCTTAAAAATATACACCTTCATCGTTTGGAGAACTGTTCATGTGGATATTGGCAGAACAGCCGACACCATGTCTTGTAGGTCTAAAACCCTTCACGTCTAACGACTCATAAGTCTAATGCTACACGTAGATTATGATCTGCACAGATGTAAATTTGTCAATGACTATTGTGGCTGCCATTTCCCAGGTTTTTCAGAGCTTCAGATAGCCGACAGACTTTCAAAAAAGGTCCGCAAGTTTCTGAAGTATGCTATGTCTTGATCCCAAAAAATTATTTCATACTTTTACATTTTCTTTTTGTACAGTTATTCTCTCTGCATTATGCATCATATTTTTTTTTTAAGGTTATAATTTTATTAGCATCTGTATATGCATCTTAAGAATCATATGTTTGTACATAAGTATGTATGCAACGTTGATGTGAAAAATGTTAACTTGAAATGGCAGTGCACTCGACCCTTCTCTCTAAAGCTGAACCTTAGTGGACTAATTGGTGTTTGTGAGGACCACCTGTACAGTCTTTCCACTGATCAGTGTTGTAAATAGAACCTTTTCTGAGCACGAAATGGCTTTGTCTGTTGTGGAAAGGAGAAAGTGTATTCTACTGAAGCTTCACATAGCACTCTCATGCAGAGGCTGAAACGGTGGATCTGGAATTGTCCATTTAAACCCAATTTTAAAATGCAAGGTTACATGCAATAGCAATAGACAAATTCGAAAGTAGAGCTCCCAAAGGCATCTGCTATACCACTAGTCTTGCCAATGCACGCAAAAGTTAGTGGTTCGATTACCTGATGAGCTTTGTAGAAACTGACCTCAAGACACTACTGGTATAACTTTCATCTGAGCAAACAGAACTGCCTACAGAAAATGGCACGGGTCAACTTCTCACATTATTACATCTAGCCTCAACTGTTGACTGCAGCTTGAGAGCATAACCTCATACCTTCACACTCCGATGAATACTCATAAATGTAGGCACAAACTTATCGTTCAATAAATGTCAACAGGAATCTTTATTGTTGGTCCCATGCACAAACCACCCTTACTTCAAAAATAATGTGGGAGATTTAATGCCATATTTTCTGGAATATAGTCCGCAGTCAGTGCATACCCAATTTCGGGTGAAAAAAGTGTTTCTCCTGGACCGTCCACACCGAGTGCACAGCCCAGAATAAGCGCAATCTTCATCCATGTTTAACATGGGTTAAGAAAGCCACATGTGTTAGTCTAACAAGGAAGAGCATTCCATCCTGAATATTAAGAAATACATACGTAACGGAATGCGTGCCATCCACAAGGGCGAGATGCACTGACAGTTCTACCTTTCGTTGCAGACTAACGCTGAGCGTGGAAAAGTGATCCCAACTATCGCACTGGGTAATCTTAACCTTAAACAACAAATCCTCGTTAGCTCGCACCTACGGATAATGCACACCACATATAAAACATCCCGTACAATCTGCGGACTATATTCCAGCAAATGTGGTATACTCGCAGCTTGTGTGGCCCAGGCTGCACGAGAGCCGGAAGGACTAGCAGCCCGGGCGTTTTCTTCCCCTCTGTTTCACGAATGCCTCAGTCAGAAGGGGGGCAGGGTGTTGGTGAGGTAGAGCAGCGTGGCCGTCTCCACAGGCTGCAGCATGGTCGAAGAGATGTGGCTGATCACGTCGCACGAATCTTGCACTGGTACCGTGGTGATCACCCGCTCCAAGCAGGCGACCTCTGCCGCTCCACTCACCACCGACGCACCACAGTCGAGGACGTCTGTTGGCAGGTGGAGGTCGCCAGTCACTCTCCGTGTTTCCGAAAGCACAATGTTTCTAACCAGGGCCCAGCGGCGTGCAGTGATGCGATTGCCGCGCCATTCGCGCCGAGGTGTATACCCTGCTACATCCCGCTACATTTGACCAGGATTGCGAGGAATTCGCGCCAACATTGCACTAAAACTTGATTTAGTTTTAATAATACTCGAAGCATATAATAGCTGAGGCTCCATTACCCGGACGGATAGTTGCGAAAGGCAAATTTTCAGAACCTGCGAATATGTATTGCCTTGCATATAACATACTTTTCGATTTGATTTCGTATCAAACCCTGGCAGCACTCGGGAAGTTTCGCAATAATTCTCATGTTGGTGGTCTGTTCTGGCAGGTTAGCTAGTTTCGTTGAGTGCACTTCTCACTGCGCGCTGGTGCAACAGCGCACCCGCATGCTAGGGGGAACACTATCCTCCGGAGTGAGACGTGAAAATATCCGAATAAAACTTTGGCTTTTATGTAATATGATAGTCTGCAATATCCTAGCGGTATCCTTTTCCAGTTTGAGATTTTGCAAGGATACTTTGGTATTTCAAGGCGATTTATATGGGCTCTTCTGTAGGCTTATTATTTATGCCAACTCTTTTGTTTAATTATCGCTTTAATATAAGTGGGAGTCTATTCAAACTAAATGAACAGGAGCAGTGAACGGAAGCTTGGGAAAAGCACTGACAAGTTTGGCAAGATTGTTTTTAAGAGGGCTCGTACGCCAAGTTTTGTTATAAAGTCCTACATATAAATGCAACTGACGTCCATAATCAAATGAAAAAAGCTTCGTCTTTTCTTTATGTGAATAAAGAATTGCATTTTTATCAGAACTTTAGGTGCTCAAAAGTTTTGTATTCCAACTCTATTTCAGTTAGATTCCATACCCAAAATACCCGTCCACACCAGTTTGTACTGTCTTTCATCGGTCATCTTGTTACTGTGTCCGGTGCTTCTACACGCAAGTAAACAGCTACTTTTGTATTTGAGGGAATCGCCTCTCCTCTGCAATTGATGCTAATGAAAGGCTGCACATAACTGAGAAGGCAAAATAGGCATTGCCTTTTAGTTGGGCAACACATTATAATCTTTGCTGGGGTATGAATGAAACTGAAGCATGCTCGAATGCTCCAAAACTTCTTATTGCTGCTCCAAAATGAACTTTTGGCTGCTACAAGAAATGCTACAACATGACTCGAACCAATCACATTACTAGGTGGGCGAATAGTGGTTTGAAATGAATCGGGCTGCATCATTCACAGCCTTCACAGTGATAAGGAATCTCGTGGCACACTGGCTCTCTTCGCAGCGTCCAAGTTAGGGATGATGCCGATGCTATTCAATTCAAGCAGTATTCCCGCGCCCCCTATTTTTAACCGGGTCAACTACAGTAGTGTTAAGATCGCACAATATTCGGCGTCAGCTATTCTGCTCTTCGTTGTTAAGGCTAACTATTGCTTCCGCAGTGCGCATGCGAACGAGATGCGAGACAAGGTCGCACGCTCTTGCAGCAGCGTCAGACTGCAGCACTTGGGAAGCAACAGTGACCTCGACAACTTAGCACAAGATAGTTGATGCCAATGTAAGTCGCGTCTAACCAATAACAAACCCGAAAGTTTAGGTAGGGCAACTAAAGACATGCGAACGTGTTGCTGTGTTCAATTTCCATCAAGGGTAAATAAAAGGAAGGTCACGCTTTCTGTGCCTTGCTTCTCGACCGGCGTGTGTATGCAACGAGGAATATTCTTCGTTGCACCGTAGTCGCCGATAGGACGAGCACGGCAGGAAAAAGCTTTGGTCGTCCTTCGATAACGCTTGGGCGTCTCGTGAGTACCTTGAGCGTGCACTCGCGGCCAAAGCATGGTGAAAGACGACGAGCGCCTCCCAGAGGCCAGGAACGTCCAAAAGAGACGCCTTGCCGTTTTTCATCCCGTCGGCGAATACGGTCTTTCGGTTCCTTTATTCTGTTTGAAAATGTGGGCAGCACCTGAGAATGGCGGGGCAGCTGCCTCGGTGACCGGCGCGTCCTCTTCCTCCACGCCATGAGAAGAGTGCAGCTTCTGGTGGCGCTTGAGGGCATACTGGGTGTTGAACTTCTTGCCACAGCATGCGCAGCTGAAGGCCCGGGGGTTGCGGTGCACCGACTGCACGTGCTTGCGCTGCACCGAGCGCGTCTTGAAGGCCGACCCGCAGATCTCGCACAGGAAGGGGCGCGCCGTCGAGTGGATGGCCTTGTGCTCCGTCAGGTGCGAGTGCGTTCGGAACTCCTGTGCCGGAGGAATGGAGGAACTGTCTTAGTCCTTTGTTTTTCGAGCGTTGGCAACAAACCACATAATTTTTTTTTGTTTAATAGTTTCAGTTTTATCGTGTTTTTGCAATCTAGTGGTCTGGCAACAGTCTTGAAGATTGAAACTATGGTGCCTTCAGTGAAAAGGTACGCAAATAGTCGATAAGAAAAAAAGGTTTGGTGGCCAAGAACGCCGCAACCGAAAATGGCGGAACGGCAAAAATATGAATACCGTAAAAGTGCCGGGCAAGCGCCCACTCACAATTTAGAGATAACCACGAAAAAAAGGGGGGGGGGGGGGGGGGGGGTGCTTGTTTTGTCACCAATGTTACATATAAATGTACTGTACATATTTTCTCAGATCTTACAAATTTGGGGTGGGTGCTTAGTGCGGAATGGGCGGATGTGCAGTATTTTAGGGTAAGTGTTTTTCCTTGGCCACTGATATTTTACGATAGGTGATCGTTTTACTCGAGGCTATCCTATGCGCAGATATTGACATTTTATAGGGATCCATACAGGTTACACAAGAGAGCCACCTTCGGACTTTTGCCTGGTGCTGCCCACAGGCAACAAACCTATAACTTGCAAGTTTACCTTACGATTTCTTTTTATTTCAGCTCTGTTCTTTTATTTGATCTTGTTAAAAATTAACATCTTAAAAAATAAATGTCTTAAGTAATTTTTGTATGTTTTGTCAATAAAGGGTTAAAAAAAAAATAGTCGCCTGGCTTAGACATTCAAACATGGCGTCCGAATAAGAACAAACATGCAATGAAAGTGCGATAGCACTTGACGGGGTTTTCAATGAACGGCACTCGCTATCAGAATGATACGCAGTGTGGCACGTGGAAAACAAATTGTTTTCCTATTCTAAGACGCAGTCCCCGCTTGTACACAGTGAGGGGAGAGAGATAAGAGTGTTAGTGCACCCTTTACTCCTCTCTCTTTTACGCAGTGCCACGAAAAATTTGTCAGTGCTGCAATGTTCGTCCGTAGCTCCGATTAAACTTCGGAGCCAAAGCGCACTGAACCGCCTCAAAGAACTTAAAGTTAATTTCATTAAAAGAGTACTCACCCAGGGGTCTCTCCAGAACACAGAAAAAGAAAACTGGACTCTGCTTTGATACATCAAAGGTGCAGGAGTGCATATAAGCTACATATGCTCAAAGTGTAGAAAGCCCAACTACCTTATTAGAGCTACGTAGATAATACCAACGACATTAACATTTAGCCAAACTATTTGACTCTATGCTTTGTGGGGATTGTGATCCCTCAACATTCTGTCGCGTCAGCGTTTTGGCGCGCCGTGGCGGCCGCGCTGGCGTAGCGAGAGGTGGCGCTGCTTACCACTGTGAGTGGCTTCCTCCTCTCCCCCCTTGGGGCGATTTCCGTAACGAACCCCCGCACAAAGGGGATCGACGTGTCGCTCCTTGATTGGCCACTTCGCCCCCGCCGTTATCTTAAAACCAGCGGTCAACAGTTCTCCGCGCTCTTCTTCCTGGGATTCGGCGGCGGCGACAACGGGGAACCTTCCGGCGCACCGGTGAGCGTTTACCCCGTCCTTTGTACATTTGTGAACGACCGTTCGGCCGTGGGCGATCTCTACACCGACGGCGTTCACCAGCTTATAGCCGCTGTGTTGTTGTTATTTTGTTTCATTGTAAATAAACAGTTTATCACCGTTACCAACGTGACTGGTGTCTGTTTGCGCTCAACGAGCAGCATGCCACGCGAGTACGAACCCGCTTCGCGGTAGAGCGTCTCGCCGCGAACGTAGTACTCCCAAAGGCAGTGGCCCTAAGGAGAACCACAGCTTAGTAGCGAGAGTGTCACTGCACTGTTTCACAATGAGCATATTTAAAAAAATGTTCACAATAAACATATTGTGAAATATGCAACAAATTTCTAGAATCTCTGTCACATTACAAAGAAACAGGCAGTTCCTCCTGCCCTCCTCACCTTGTGGCACTGCGTACAGGGAAAGGAAGCCCTGGGCATGCCATCGGCCTCCTGCGAATTGGTGCCGTGGGTGAGGTGGTGCTGGCGCAGTGCGTCGGCCCGCTTGAACGCCTTGCCGCACCGATGACAAAGGAACGGCCGGGCGCCGCCGTGCACGTTGGTGCGGTGGCGCACCAGGTGCTCCTTGCGGTGCGTCTGGTAGCCGCACTGGGCGCACTGGTGCAGGGGCCCCTGCGCGGTGGCACTGTCGCCGGAGTGCCGCTGCCGGTGTCTCGCCAAGAGGAGGGGCCGCGTGGTGCGGTAGCTGCAGTGGGGGCACTCCATCGGCTGGGACGGGGGGCGAGGTCGTCATGAGTGTGAGCGCGGTGCACGACATTACGCGCTTTGTGTTTCGTTTCCTTCTGTCATCAGTACTGGGATGTTTTCCACGCATCTGGGTCACGTGCTTCTTCCTTGGAGGATTTGAAAGCCCATGCCCTGTTTTGTTCGACAAAAGCCCCGTAGAAACCAAGTTTATTACCGATGCCAAAAATTAATGCGAGAAAACACCGAACCAGAAGAAAAAATAAACCCTGACAGTACTTGTCACTGAAAAACACGGACAAATGGACGCCATAATTTCTCGACGCGATTGTAAAAAAAAAAGTTGATGCGGGAAATCTGAGTATTTTTCCCGACAATTTCATTCTTGATATCTCGGTTAACGGAGATGTAGACCGCTTGCCACGATACACTTTTTTTTCGCGAATATGTGACCAGAAAGGCTCGGGTCGTTGAAGAAACCGTTGTCATGCTCGTACAGCTGAACATAGACTCGCCATTGTGTGCCGCTGCTTCTTTACTTACAGTAGACTCTCATTAATTCAAACTCCAGGAGGTCATGAATATTGTTTGAATTATCAGAAATTCATCTAAATATGATGCAAGATAGAATAATGATTTACCATATGATTGGCTACACATACAAAGCACATCATTGATGATTTCCTCTACATAGGCCTACTGATCACAAGCAGATATACCATACATGAAACATCTGTGAAAGGTATGACGTCAGTTTATTTATCCCTGAAAAATGTTGTTTATCGTGGGCTGCTTAAACAGCACATGACAACTCAAACAGAAATTAGATTTGTTCATCAGGCCAAGAAGTTGTCTCATGTGAACCATTCAGCAGGTGCACCATGCGGCAGTTTACACGGCAACTTGCATGGACGCAGAGACATGGACCTATGCCATGCCGCCACGACATAGCATCCGCGTGAGTTGCTATGGAAATTTACGCGTGGTGCCTGTTTTCATAGCTTGTGCGCACCCTGCTTGAGCCCCTTGAGAGCACTTCTCACCGAGCACCGGTGCATTGCAGAGAAGCAACACCTGCAAAAGCAAGCTCCACGGGTGTTGCCTCTCTGCAGTGCACCGGAGCTCGGGAAGAAGCACACTCAATGGGGCCGCGAGAACAAAAAGTATGAAGTACACGAAAACGCCATTCGAATTAAGCGGTTTATGAATACATACATTAAAAACGTATCAAGACAACCAAAATATTGAAATTTGTTTGAGTTAACCAGAAGAATGAAATATCCGCGTTTGAATTATTGCGAGCCTACGTATATAAATGTTAAACCAATCTCGCATGCTAGAGTTGAGCACATGTCAAATAAGCACCGATAAATGTCAATGTAACTCTGGGAAAATAAACACTCGATTGGGCCAGAAATAAACCCCGGAAACCAAAAACGCTACCGACAATAAACTTGGACATTACGCAGAAATGAACTGGCATTAACACGGGGTATGCCCTGCAATGCCGAATAAAGGAAAATTTCCCATAAACATAGCTCCAAGGGACAAAGGAAGACTTAATTTGAATGCACACAGAGTAAATGAAATATATAAAGAATATATTGTAGCGTTGCTCCTTTCTTTTTTTCTTTTTGTCCCTCGAAGCTAGGTTTAGCAATACAGGGTATGCCTTACTTGAAGAAGCCATGAAACAGTAGCTGACAGTGGTGAACTGAACTATGCTTTTTTTTTCTCAGAAAATAATATAATGCTCCTGCAACGTCATTGCGGATTTCCGGTGACAGTGTCAAAAGTGTTCATTGGTGGCAAAAGTTTTCCTTCCTTTATTTTTTACTATATTTCTTCATCTCGACGATTCCAAGATAGCATGTCTCATGTTTAGGGTACCGTGTGAAAGGATAAAGTTGTTGGCAAGGGAGGCGATAACATGGTCTAGAATATTTTTGTCACACTGGTAAAGATTTCTTAGGGACCGATTGAAGCACCACAGACGTCCTGCCAACATTAGGAGTCGACCAATCGGATCGCTAGGAGAACCTGCCGGATGGACTTGGGTTCAGAGAAGCCAATGGGAGGAAAGTCGCCAGATGCGTCTACTTTTCAATAAATCCCCAAAGACCCGTCGAAAGGACGGACGATTGGAAACGCTATCTATACTTGAGACCTAGGAGTCACATTATTTCAGAACAGTTGAAATGCCACGTACAGGATGCAACATCTGCTTAAAGGGGAACTCCGGCGACCTTTTGAGCAACCCCAACTAACTATATTTTTGAAATCGCCGTCCTTTACTCTTTCTAATATGTTATTTTGTATCGCAAAATTCAGAATAGTTATTGTGAAATCGGCAAATGAAAATGATGCCAAAACGAAGATTCGAATATACCCGCGCTTTTCATTGCCGTGACGTCACGAATGTGCCGGCTTGCGGTTCGAGCGGGCAGTCTAAAAATGTGCTGCTGCACAGGAGCTGGAGCGACTTTCCAAAGCATTCATTTGACACCATAAAACTGCTTGTAATCAGTTGAAAACAAACTCTACAGCCCAAAGAGTGAACCCCTGCACACTCATGACGTCACTTTTTCAATGTTGCCAGTAGAGCTTTTCACTTTGGAAAACACGATGAGGACCAAAATTGTAAATTCTGTAACATCGCGAAAAAAAATTATTTTTGTCCAAATATTTGGGTTACTAGTTCAGCGATGTTTGTTGGTGTTTTTAGCAAGTTTTTAGGCAAATCGGGGACTATGATAAAAACGGCGGAGTACCCCTTTAAGGGCTGCCCAAATAGGACACTTCAGAAATCGTGAGGCAATACAATTCCATCAAAAGTCGTGGAAGTCGAAGCGGTTGAAATCCGGCAGTTCGGTGTCTGATTGAACACCACCAAGCAAACGTCACAAGTTTTCTCCTTGCTTCCTCCAATTTTAGGGGACCTTGATGCTCGCACGCCACCTGCCAATGCTGTCCATCTGTTCTGCCGGGCCCTCATATCCTTGGCCGTTTTCCAAAATTTACTCAATCTTACACCAGAGCAAGGGTAATGTACCTTTGCGTTCGAGAACCTACCCGCGTCCAGCGCCGCTCTATCTGTGTTATCTTGCGACACAACCCACCGGAGTAATTACTATTTGGGTAAAATTTCGAACACAATCCTTCCCTTTTTCGTTTTCGGGACTTTGAAGAGCAGCGGGTAACTTGAGCGATTGACCGACAGCCGACAGAGCCTGTGAGTGGCTGTCCAGACCCACATGATCAGCATGCTCAAGGCTTCCGTCAAGGACACAAGCAAACTTTGATGGAGAGAACTTTACCCTTGGCAAAAAAAAACGGTCAAAAGTGGACCACCACACAACTTATGTTGGAGTTGTGTCACCTCACAAATTCTGAAGTGTCCTATTTGGATAGGCTTCGAAACTAATTATCAAGATATTTGAATATTTTCTAACTTTCTTTCATTTCTACATGGGTTTGAGCAACTTGTAGCGACTAAATTTAATAAAACAGACACCGCCAAAGTTTCTAGACTAGTAAGTAAATAGTCTATCTAAGGACCGCGGCGGTACCTTTGCGGGGGCAACTCGGGGACGCTTGACACAGTAGTGCCGCATGCGGTTGTGCCGTAGCAGCAGCTTCTGGTCGTCGGTGGCATAGCTGCAATGGCTGCAGTGGTGCAGCAGGTTGCTGTGCGTAGCCTCGTGCCTCCTCAGATGACCCAGGCGAAGCGTTGTGAAGGCGCACTTGTCGCAGTTGTGCAGCGTCTTCACCTGCGTTCTCGGAAAGCGGCAATCGGTCGTGAGCAGACGACGAAGTGACCTTTGTCCGCTTTCGACCGTCCGCTTGTTGCACCTGTCGAGAGATGGCGCTACAAGCATGACTCTCGCGCGACTTGGTCGTCTGCATCAAAACCCATCTTTGAATGTGTCAAGGAGGTTCTAGTTTCTCGCAGGACTGAAGCCACTTCTGAAAATTTTGTGAGGTCAAATCCACCACTAAAATATGTCTGTGAAAATATGAGCTTGTTACGTGCAGGTGCCACTTTTCTTGCCTCAAGCTCCCTGATTCATAACACCCTGCATATTGAACGGCGACACGTCGGGCAAGCGCATTTGTGTGCCAAGCAATCATTGACATCAAACACCTCCAGTAGGCAGGCACATCACCAGGAAGAACTTACCAATAGGTAAAGAATGCAGCTGCCTAATGCGGTAGAAGGTTCGGGGGGCGGCCAATTTGTGGCCGCCCCAAAATTAACTGCCTTTCTTTTTTTAAAATCTATCAGCTACTTTGGAAATTCTAGCTCCAAATCTGGTTACTCCTGAAAATTTTAAGTCCAAACTTAGCTCCTTTGCAGCCCACTGCCCATGGTCACTGACTATGGGGGTTGGAAGTTGCAGGGAGAGGGGACGGAGGGCAGGGGGCAGCACTGTTAAAGGCTGTCTAGGGCGGAAAAATGCCGAGTCTGACTCTGCACATCACCCTAATAAGAGGTTAACTTGAGCCTGTTGTCAGAACACTGGGAGACATCTAGTAGTATGATCCTCTATGTTTTCTCTTTGATCGAGTACAAACCACAATGTATAATGCACCACAATTGAGGAGGATGTGAATCATCAGGGTAACAAGCACCTCCTTCTCATCTAAATGAGGTTCTTAGCTACTTCCTGTTGAGAAATGAGAAGCACAATAGAAGGCAGGGAACTATGACACCCGACAAATATTAGAACTTGATGCCTATAGAAAGACCCACAGCCTCGGTTAATTTCTGGGGGAGGAGAGGGAGTGAAGGAAGGAGAGGACCTGGGGTGGGGGAAGGAAGTAAACAAAAGTAGCCTCTTGGTACATTTACTGGATACTCACCTTTTCGTGTATTTTCATATGCTTGATGTAGTGACTGTTACGCTTTGTTTTGAAGGAGCACATCTCACAAAAGTACTTGAATGGCGTCACTTGCTCATAGTTCCTTTTTCGTCTCTGGCCCACAGTCTCCTGCGCTGCTTCCTTTCCTGCATCATGGACATCCGCAGCGGGCTCTGTCCCATCTTCTGTTGTTGAAATGCCCACCGGCAAATCGAGCATCGCATCTTCGAGTTTGGAGCAGTGGATTTCAATGACCATTGGGTCTGGCAGGGGCACAGAGCTGCTATCGCTCTGCCAACAAAACCAAAAAAATGTATGTGAATGGTTAAAGGAAGACAAACCAAATACTCAATTTTACCGCTTACTAAGTGGGGAACTAAATTTGAACTGGATCTATTGCATGCAGGGTGCAAAATATGCCGACAGTCCTCGCAAATTGTATGACAAACCCCTATCCCATTCAACAGACTGTTGTAGAGGCTGTAAAATATTATGAGCCTTGCTTTGTAATGAAACATGCTGGGATTTGCATGGTTGTTCTTGAATACGAAAACCCGAAAACCAGACCCGCGGTCTGTGCTATTTTACACGAGGCTACAAATGGTCACACAACAGGTGGCTAATCAGTGTCTGGGGTGACAGTTAAAAAAAAAGAAGGAGCAGAAGGTCAGGGGCAAAACATGCCTTCATGAAGGTGAACGCAGTAATGTAGAATGCTGCGCGAGTATTGTAAAAGCCGTCGGAATTATTGCGCTTTGAAATCGAACAGCAGCTGTGCCGAGCATGTGTGGTGCAGATGTGAGAATCATAGTTGAGAATATTAAAAGAAATCACACCTGCTCGACTTGTTCGAGCACACCATCGTCCGCAACCGCTCCGACTTCTTGAAAGGCGTGTTGGAGGTCTGTCGGGCAGAACTCGCCGCAGTCATTGGAGTCCGGCACAACATTCACGAGGAGCGTTGTCTCGCTCGACAAATTGAACGCCTCCTCTTTAACAGGAAGCTCAGTCGAATCGTCCGCATCGTTTGTTCTGATAACTTCGTGGGATGCCACGTCATCTCCGCAAGGATCTTGAATGCCGTCTTGAAATGCTATGGACAGGGTGACTTCTTCGGCGTCCGAGATCTGGCACGGGCCAATGGCGTCTTGCTGTAACACGTGCTTCTGTAGAATCTCGCGTGCCGTGAGAATGTCGAGGAACGATCCCTGGATTAGGTAACGCAGGCAGGTGGTCGAGACGTCTTCTTGGAGCTTTCCAGGAACACCGTTTTCCTGGAAGAATGTTTCGATGCCGTCCGGGATGGAGCGCAGAACTTGGTCCGACAGAAATGCCCGGACATCGTCGAATACCTGAAAAAATGTGCAAGTTTGTTTGTGTATCGTGAGTGGCCTATAAACAACCTGGTGCTCCTTTAATAATGTGCTTTCCAGATGAGCAAAAAAAAAAGAAAAGGAAACATTTAAAATTAATGTTTAGCATTTAAAAAAAAAAATCTTGAGGATAGTATTTATGACAATTCATCATTATGGTGAAATAGGCAGGACGACGTCATTGCGACAATGTATAAAAAAAAATTCCAGCAATGCTTCGACAATCCAAGGCATGCGAAAGATAAAAGCACACACTGAGAGTCGGGGATTAAGGTGCCGCGCAAATGTTGTTTTGGTGTCTTAGGCTTGCACCATAGGTAATCTCCAAAACTCTGTGATAAGCGTTAAAATACGATTTGACAGAAGCCAAGCAACAAGTGCTCGTATACAACCTCCAAGATCTTGCCGCTTTTTTCTCTTTCTTCCTCTGTAGATAGCGTCGGCATGGCTTTTGATCATAGTCGCCAGAAGACGGGCTAAGAGAAACAGATGCGTCTTCTGTTCGTGTGAAGCCCTGTTGGTGCCCCGAAAGTCTCCGCCCAGCTCATATTCGCCCAGCAGTTCGCCGTGAAAAGGATCACACGGGTCACAGAGCGCCAGCACCAGCACATCGTAAGGAGCGCATAAGACGGCCGTGGTCCCTGCAACCGCGACGTCTCGTTAAAGCCTTTCCGAGGTCGTTAAAATTACAACTCGCACGGTTATGACAGTCACAACAGACGTGACAGCTAGAACAGTTGCCAAAGCGGTAGGAGTCAAACCAAATACTTGCGAAGCTGCCAAAAAAGCTGTGTTGGTCGTCTTCGATAATTGCGCGTGCGCTGCGCTTTGGTGGGTTGCTTTCAGTGTGTTCCTTGATGCGAGCTTAGACTGCTTAGACCACTTAGACGATTTTCACCCAATTGTGACGTCATGGGGTTGATTTAGCTGCGATAGGCGCCACTGAATGATCGAACGCGCTGAGTTCTCGGGGTGCGTCTTATATGCGCTTCATGTCAAGAGTACATCTTGTTTTAAGGGAGAACATTCAACATAGACAACAAACGTGCAATAATTTCGAATTTTTTCCCTTCTAGCATTGTGCCAAGCTGACTCTACAGAGTCGCTTCCAAATTAAATTAAACGTTTTTAAGAGAGAAAGTATGCAGGTGAGCGCAACGGGAGAGCTGGTAGGGCCGGTAGGGCGTGGAAAATTAATATATAAAGGGAGCATTGAAAACACTAAGCAAAAAGTGCACACTTTGTAACGCCCTACTGAACGTTGCGCTTTGCGCGCTTGGATTGAGTGAAATAAAGGCAGACAGTGGAAGCGTGGGTGTCCTGCGGAAGGCAGATTGAATCTAGTACACCGGATAAGGGAAACTGCCGCGATCGTGGCTACGACGTTCGATTGAAGCTACAATATGCGTTGTTAACTTCATTTCCTTCTAATTACATTTCCAAACGCAACCAGACAATCCAAAGAAGGCGGCATGCCGGTGACGTGACCGCACGTCTCCCACAGAAAAATCGAAGGTTGGAAAACCCAGAATTCGCGTCATGCAACACAGACCCGAAACATCTTTATGTGGACCAATAGAAGCAAATACCGCTACCACCTCAATATATATTGTTTCTTTTTTTTTTTCCCCTTTTTTTTTAATCATGCCAAACAATAAATTGTACAAAAGTCCCGTTACAACCGCCGACGCGCGCGGCATGGCTCACAATTGTTTTTATTTGAGCGGGACAAAAAAAAAACCAGCTGCCGCCGTGTTTTCGTGGGTCCTCCCGGGCTTGACACCAAAAAGAAGGCAAACCCTTTTCGGGGTGGGGCCAAAGCAGAGTCAAAGGACAGCGGAGAACCCGTTTTTAGAACAGCGCGACCACCTCAAAGAAACTAGGTGCGTACGGATGGAGGGCGGTACGTGGGCGAACGAGCAAAGTTGCCGGTGTCTCCTTCCGCAATACAACGACACGAAATAGTTCGCAAGACAACGCCAGATCTCTGTACTCCCCGTAACAAACTCGTGAAAACTTTTCTCATTCGTTACTCGCGCGTTGGAGTTTATAGCCCCGTTGGTCTTGGATCAAGTTACAAGTTCCTGTTTCGAGGTGACACCGCGCAGACGGGGATACAGCAGCGCGGGCGCCGTGAGCAACACACTTCCTGCGTGACGTCACTGGGACCGATGAGTCCCCTTCCTTACATAGGCAACTGGAACTGTTCAAGTGCCTTGTGTTCGTAGTCGTGCCTTGTGTTTCGGTGTAGTTTGGCGATGTGCTTTTCCTTTTCCTAAATGACGTGATACACGGGTGGATTCGAAGACGCACCGCATCGTGCTTTTTTGGCCGGTGAGTTGCAGTGCTACGGCGAGTTTTGTTTTCGCGTAGCGGATGCTTCGCTAGGCACCTCTCCCGAGGTCGCCGCCGTAGTGCCAGTAGTGCCATGTGAAACTTTGCGATGCTTTTGTATAGAAACCTCAGACGAGACCTCGCTAGGTTTTCTGAGGGCGTCCGTGCTTTAACGGAAGGTTCTGTTAAACATTTTGGTGTTGCGTTAAGGGTGATTGTTAATTTTATTGCCGAGCTTAGAACTCTGGGGTCGAGCGACGAGTAGAACGTAAACAATGGGATGGGCGCATCTGTGATCCATCTGTTGAAAACTTCGAAGTTTGGAGAATCGTGAAGAAGTTTGAGCTCGGGAGCGGCGGCTCTTGTAAAAAGGGAAGCCTCTGAAGTAAGTTTTTCATCTGGGTTAGCGTTTAAAATACCTTGCCATTTTTTTTTTTTTTTGTTTTTTTGTGTATTTTTTTTTTGTCGCTTCTCGTTGGTGCGGTTGAACTTCGGATGGGTGTGGACGCGTTTTGAAATCTGTGTTCAGATTATTTCCTCGTAGCCGTTAGGTACGCAAGACGCTCATTTGATGACTAATTTTGATGGTTTGCGAGTATGTCGGTTCACTCATTTTATGTCTTTGATTTCAGGATTCTTTTTGTAGAAAAACGGAAAACAGAAAAAAAAAAGTTTGAAGTTCTGCCAAGATGATGTTCAACACCGCCTGTACAAGTCTGAGCTTACTCCTGCTTGTCTTTGTTAGTACAACACACTGCCAAGTGAAACAAATCACTAAAAGTTCCAAGAAAGGTAGGTTTTGTCTTTGAGTTCCTCGTTTATTGCTAGATTTTTTTTTTTTTTTTTCGGACTTGTTTGTGTTGTTGCCTTTTTTGGCTTGGTAGCAAGTTTAGCTGATACATGTTCATAGTTTATTCTTATGTTGTGAAAGAAAGCCCTGATCTTGAATCTCCTCCTTTTAAATACTGCTATCTTTCATTGTGTGGTCCTGATATCTGGTCTTTGTTGACACGTTCCATCTAAAAGCGTAGCCTGAACTTATACCATTTCTCACATGCTCGCGCTACACTTACAAGAGCAGTAATTTTACAAAATAAGTTGAAACGACCGAGTGACTGAAAGATAGCTATGGTGGGGCCTCTACGATAGTGGTTGCGAGATTACAATGGTATAATATTTGACTCGGCATAATTAGGGTTCAAAACTGCACTGTTGCTTCTCACAGGCTGCTGCTTGGCAAGCTTCTAGTTATCATCATTTATCTTGCTTGTTCAGACATCGCATAAATGATTTGTCTAGTGCAGTGACCATGCACCTAGATTATAAAGGCAGTGACAAGCCCGGCTAGGTGCTAGCAAAGAGTGAAGCTAAGCCATATCAGAGTTCTCCTAAAGCGTGGAAAAGGAACTGGCTGAGTCGGATAGCAGTGGCCATTTCACTCTCATTTGCACGCTGCCTCTCTTTGGTAGTTCAACCTTTTGGATTGAGGCAGTGCCACCGGTACACTTTGGTCATTTCAGCTTACATTGTCCACGGCTGTACACAGATTTAGTGGGACCACCTTTGGAGGGGCTCACTCAGCCTCTCTGCTTTTGCTTCAGTTAAGCAGTGTAAAAAGTTGCCAGAATGTTTTCAATAATGCACAAACATAGCCTGACAGTGTTTAAATGTTACAACGCTACCCATTAGCATGAAACCGCACAGATGAACCGGAACAAAACATTAAGTGGCATGAAACAAATTCTGGTCGAGTGATAAAGTATACTAAACAGATTATGCTTTTTAATTCCAGCGCCAGAAAAGCTCCTGAGCAATCCTTGCAGCGGCAGGGAAACATGTCACGAGTGCTTCACATTTGACTCTGACTGTGGGTGGTGCTTGAAGGAGGTAAGCATTGCCACAAAAAAGATCAAAAGAAATACTTTATGTTGGAGTGCATTCAGTTTGAAATTGCTTCAGCCAGAATCCAATCCAATGATTTACCTCTAGTAAATATTAGCTGCCAACCTGTGACATTGAGCAGCTGCACCTGTCATAACTAAATGCTCTATGTTAAAAGAAATTGCCAACATTTCTAGAAATGTGTATTATAATCTCATGGCTTTGTTTCAGGGCTACACAAATGATGGAAAGCCGAGATGTGATACTCTCATCAACTTGGCCGAGTACTGCCCTAACGACTACTTCCACCCCAAAAACACAATGACTAAAATCACGGTATGCCTGTTACCTTCCAAATTTTGTCGCCATCATGGTGTTTGGGTGCTGCGACACTTGTTGTTTCTGCCCACTGTGTCCAGGACTCCGAGTTGAGCAACAAGGGGGTGAGAGAAGGCGAGGCGATTCAGATCAAGCCACAAGAAATCAGGCTCAGGTTGAAGCCAAGTAAGTCATCCTTCCAGAACAGTCTGATCCTCTGGTTACACTGGCATTGAAAGGCCTTTCACAAAGCATTTATGCATACTGTAAACGACTAAATTTTCATGAGGACCTAATTTTCGCGAATCGCCTACAATTCGCGAAAAATACGTCCCGCGAACAATTCGGGCAATCATGTGAACGCTACGGAAGCTACACTCGATACGCGAAAATTGGAACCCGCGAATAATTTCGAATTTTCAGCTTGGGCCCGATCCGCGAAAATTAAGTCGTTTACAGTATCTCAAATTTTTTATAAAGATATAACAAAAAAGTGCAACAATAAAAAAAAAGCTTTTTTTAATGTAATAATTGTTCCTGCTCTTTATACCCTGGTCTCATTCAATATCGACACTAAATTCTGTTTATTTTATAAGTCTTAAGGCTGCCTGAGGCATTTATTTATTAATCACAATAATGAAATCGGTCCAACCCAATTCCTCCTGACCGCCGAGAAACAAGAGAATTTATTGGTTAGAAGGAACTTAGAAAGTAGAGTCGCGGGAACTGAAACACCCCAAGTGATTTCTAGGGTCTCGGATGCTTGAAAATTTTTACATTCATGTCGTTGGTGTTTGTAGCATCCCGTTGCGCGCTTTTGACGCCGTGTTTTGTGGAATCCCGATTTCGGTTCAGCATCCCTTTAACAGAAATTTTGTGGAGATTTCTGCACTTTAGTTGTCTACGGGAAGTTCCCAGCTGCTATTCGGTCGCAAACTGCAACGTATGAACCGACCAATAAGCAGAGGGCAGTGAAACTCTTCAGTAATCTGCCTTTAGGTGGTTTATTTGTTGTACTCAAATTTCGAGAGTGTGGGTTTCTCCAAAAAGAAATACAAGGAAAAATTTTTCTACGCGCAAGAAAAACAAATGCAAACAAACCACCGGCTTGATACTGTCACTCACAGATGGCCCCATGAGGTTCGCAGCACCAGCACCTTATCAGTGTACGCCGTTCCACAGTACACGTCGGCATGTATTTCGTGCAGGAAACAACAATAAAACAAACAGGGAATTTAGTAATAAAGATAAATCCAGAGAGGAAGGACAAGCGCTGGAAACGAGCCGTAGTTGGAAAGCAGGCGATAAAAAATTGTTTTCAGCAATGAAGTCTACGTTGCATAATGCCGAACAGACCATTTTTAAAAATTTATTCTTGGTTTCACTTTTAATTTTCAAACTAACGATAATGTAACCTTTGAAGAAACAACAAGTCATCATTTGGAACGGGAACTCGAAAGGTTCCTTGTGTTGCCGTGCCTGCCAATGATTGCTCCATTCGCGAGTGGCAGCGTGGGGAAAACGGTTTATTTACGTTTGTTTTTTCCGTGTACAAAACTTTTTTTTTTTTTTTTGAGGGGGGGGAGGATTTGTGTTTGTTAAATTTGGGCACTTATTTGTGAGGGGTCTCATTGCATTTGGTCTATTGGCTGATTTATTGGGTTTATTTTATGACTGGATAGTGCTCTGGATCTCTTTGTAGATGTGAAATGGAGCACTTCATAGATAACACTGTTTCTCAATGTAAGTTCCTAGGTACACAGAACTCCCCAGAGTTTCTTTTTTTTGGCCATCCCTGACCCTAAGTAAGGCATTTTTCCAGTTTAAGTGCTATTTTAGCAGACCTGATTCAACGACTTCCATGACGTTGTGCTCGTGCCAGACTTAAAGGGACACTGACACCCCCCAAAATATATTTTTTATTTTTTGCCAGGCGATTCATTATGGTGTCAGACGACTACCCAATCAATATTCTGCTACAGCGTCACATATACTTTTAATAAAGTAAAAAAAAAAACGAACTGGACTGGGGAGGAAGAAGAAATACAGAGGAGGAGTGAGGTGGCAGAAGTCACGGGGCTTTGATACTTTTTTCCTGCCAAACAATGCATTTGCTGGTTTTTAGACGCCCCAAAAAATGGGTATCTTATTTCTTTTCTATTTTTAATATTGTGTGCGTGCCTTCGATGACCTACGACTTTGATTACATTTGGTGGTTGTGCCTAAACCTTAGAAGACTGCTCGTGACCACAAAGAAGAGAGTGAGCGCTACTCAAACCGGCCAGTTCTCGATCGGTGGTTTTCGGGCGGAAAGAAACCGAATTTCAAGCCGCAAATTCTGTTCTGGGTAGTTGGACTCTCATATGTCATGTACAAATAAAAACCTTGGCGAGCATGAATACCCTGTCAGTGTCCCTTTAATGTGTGGCTATGAGCCAAACCCTCACCAGTATGCACATTATGTTTTACATGGTCTGTGGGCTTTTTTACTGTTTAATTGCATCAATGCCAAGATTGGGAGGGGCTCCTCGGCTAATCGTCTAAGTTGATGGGGTTCTTCAAGGTTGGAAAGTTTGTGAACCCCTGCCCTGACAGGTTAGCCCAAGAGACCTAGTGGGCAAAACAGATTGAAGCTTTGTGCAGAGTATCAAAGTCAGTCTTTTGAGTCTAGAAACTGGTAGGAAGGACTAGAAACGCACTAACTGGATGAATCGCACTGAATTCATTTTTCAGAGTCGCCGTTCCCGCTGAATGTGGAGTTCAAGCAGGCGGAGGACTACCCCGTGGACCTGTATTACCTGATGGACCTGTCCAACTCGATGAAGGACGACAAAGACAAGCTGGCCCTCCTGGGAGACCTGCTGGCCGAGGAAATGGGCAAGATCACCTCAAACTTCCGGCTGGGCTTTGGCTCCTTTGTGGACAAGGTCGTCATGCCTTACGTCAACACCGTGCCCGAAAAGTGGGTGGCCCTCGTGTTTATGCCTACGGCTAGTTACTGATCACCATATCTTTCAGTCTGTTGGTTGCACTGTTGTATAAGTTGCACCCCCCTAAAAACAGCTGCTTTCATGTGAAATCCGGTAAATAAGTCACACTTTTGTATAAGTCGCACAATGAACACACTTTTTTTTTTCCCCGAAAAATTACATAATTGGGGTAAAATTCTGCATTTACTCACTTTGCGCAAATGTCATTTTAGGTGCCAATATAGAGCAAAGCTAAGGATGCACGGTACTGTGGCACATATCCACTGACAGAGGTGTGTCCATGGCTGGCGTGCCAAAGTAATTAGCTCTATAAATTGCAAACCTTTTTTAGGGCGCTTTCGGCGTGCCTTTTGCCGAAGAAAAAGCGTCCTACGAAGCTCACTCAACACAGAGAGTGATGCAGCCGTTCTTAGGCCTAACCACTTTTGCGACATTACGGTTCGAAAGCGGACCATAGAAGACGGCGTGTTTGTTGACATCAATGCATCCAATGGACGAAGCATTTCCGTGGCTGGGCAGTTCCTCGACACCAGCTTCGCTAGGCATGCGCGCCGCTTGGTTTCACTTTTGGTCACTTCTGCAACCACGCAATTCCAGCGATTACAAGAGCAGCTTGGCTTGGCATGACTTGGCCCGACCACTTGGCGGCAAAAAAAAATAAAAATTGGCGGGCTTGGTGGCTAGTTGGCTAGCTAAGATGGACGGAGTTGAAGACAAAGCTGAAAATTAAAAATGCATTCATTATGCCAGAAAAAAAAAAAAAATGAAAGTTCCAATATTGATGCTCATTGTGGCGGGTGCGTTCATTATGTGACTGTAGTCGTGGAGTGCTGCAAAGCTAAGGATGGCACACAGAGTAGCTGCAGCCGTGGACCTATGCCATCATAGTTTTGGACTGTCTTTGACCTAACAGAAGTGCAGGCCATCGGCACATGCTCTACCGTTCCTCCTTTGTCATAAATGTCGGTACACCACCGTTGTATGGTACGTGCTCTGTGGAAAACTGTAAAAATAATGGTAACTTACACTCCTCAGAATGTGGGGATTGACCCCTTGGGTACCGTTTGCACAGGGTCATGTGTGGGCGAGATCTGGAGCGGAGCGTATTAGGATCTGTTTCATGTCAGGCTCAAGTTTGGAGCTGTATATATATGCAAGGCAGCTAACATTGAAGTCTACCCACTATTTCTCCATTGGAGCCAATCAAAGCTCGGGGTTCTGATATCAGTGCAACCCCTGTGCAAGAAGCGGACAAACTTGCGCTCCGCATAGGATGCGGATAATTTTCAACCAAAATTACGAAGAATCATTTTGCTTGAATCAAAGGTGGTGCTAAGTGCCAGTGACCTTTTTCTTGGCAAAGGAAAAGTCCTGTTACGAAACTGTCAATAGCAGACCGCGTCTTGACTTAGCAAAGGTCTTCCAAGGCTGTTTACCGGTTACCTGAATGACAGGCTGAAATTTAGAATATTGACTCGGGGAAGAGGCCTACGTAAAGTTTATGTAGTGCTGGTTTACACCAATGAAAGATGGCACTATAGATTGCAGATAATTCAAAAGGTTAATGCTTCAGGGGGTGTTTGGGTCATTAAAATAGTTTTAATAGAAAGTGCTATAGTATTTCTTTTTAGTGGTTTGCCCTGCCTAAAAATGAATACTCATTAAGAAGAGTTCATAACATATTATAGTAACCCATACTCATGCAAAGGGCATGCTGGCTCCTTGCTTCCATTTAAGAATAATGTTTCTCTTAAAAAAAAAAACGTAGAAGCTTTTTTTAAGATGCCCTCTTCAACAAGGAGTGATGTCATCTTTTACGGCCTCTTATGGTGGTTTGAGCTATTAATGTGCAACCTTCAAGTGGAGGATAAAAGGTCTTGAACACATCTTTCTCATTTGCTAAATTTGTATGTGTTGGTGAAGTAGATGTAGCATTCCGATTCGTGCCTTGCACATGAATATTTACGAGGCCGCAGTATATTAACCAGGCCCGAAATTGTTTTATGTTTATTTCTCTATAAGATCTGCGAGTGCATTTTGCCTCCTGTTTATTTGGAGTAGAACAATGTATTTAAGTGGCTTCCGAAGTGCAAACATTGTGATCAGGAAATATTTTTCGGTGGATGATATGTCCAAAATTAAACTAAAAGGTAGCTTGAATTTACAAGAGGAAGCGTACTTCGAGAAATCATCACCATAAATCATTCACTTTTTCTTGCAGTGCCAGTTATGAAAATTGTAGCATAATGTGAGGTACCACTTAAGTTTACAAAGAGATTACTTTCACTTCCAATTTTGCACTTAACAGGTCACCTTCAGATTGAACCAGTCTCATATTTTTATTACCGACGCATGTTCACCAATGTTTGCAGCCTAAGTTTCTTTTTAATCGGTAGATGCCGTTGATGTTTACAGCATTCATATCATGGTAACGGCAACAAATACTGCTTATATCATTTGTCACAGTATTTAGTGGTGTCATCATATTGTGGCTACTCCTGTATAAGTACATTGCACGTGTCTGGTTACCACCAGATGTCATTTCAAGCACTCCTCTTTTGATAGCAGAAAAGGGAGACCTCATGGCTTCATCTCAGCAATAGGACAGATGGTAGTTGGTTCAGATGATGAAATCAGGAGAGCAGTTAGACGCTCCTTTCTCAGGTTGCTTTACCATCTTCCAGGCTGCGTGTCCCGTGTGATGGCTGTGTTGCGCCCTACGGGTTCAAGAACCACATGCCTCTGAACTCCAAGACGGCCTCCTTCAAGGAGCAAGTGAACGAGGCACAGGTCTCTGGCAACCTCGATGCCCCCGAAGGCGGATTCGATGCCATAATGCAAGCCGTCGTCTGTCACGTGAGTGCCCTAGGACGACTTGCTTGTGCTCGCGTAGCTAATGCTCTAGTCTGTTGGAATACAAGAGCTGCAATAACACCGCACTGCGCTCAGTGGCCACCCCGGCCAAGGTGCCTGCAATCTTACGGAGGCTTATTGCGAAGAAGAAGCTGTGTAACCGAAATTTCAATTGCACATAAAAGATGTTCGTCAAAATTAATCCTCAGTCCTTCGCTCGCTGGGGCGTCACCCTTCGTTGTTTTGGCACGTAAAACTCCCGAATTTGAGTTTCCGCTCTGCCCAATATTTCGAGGGACGCGGGCATTAGATGAACCTTGTTCGTATGGACACCAATCTTTGAGAAAGTGTGATGACTGAACTTTTTTCCTTTCTGTGACAGAAAAATAGTGTCTTTGTACTGAGTACCATAGTAACTCCATTTCTCTGGAAATTTAGTGTGTGTGTGTATATGGGGGGGGGGGGAGTGACGCCTTTTCAGTGGTTCTTAGTAAGAGACTATATTGGCTCATTGTTTATACAACCAAGCCGAAGGCATGGGGGGAAACTTGCACTGTTTTGAGTTGGTTGGCAATTGTGTTAATTTTGTTGCTCTACACAGCCTTTTATTTATGGCATAAAAATGTTTCAAATAAATTTTAATATATCTTTGTGTGCTTTGTGAAATTATGAAGCGTGAGGTCTCCACATTAATTACTTTACTTGTGGTACCTGCACAGTGACTTGTTTTTTGTCCAGGCATGTACAGATGGTAATTGCATACAATGTTTTGAAGTTCTTGCATGTTCTTAAGTAACAAGCTCTTTTCAATGTGAAACATTCTTTGGCTAGTTGTTCGGGATTTCATGAAACCAGATTAAGTTTCCCCGCCAGATTTTGCGGGCAGATTGAGGTCACGTCACCTCAACACTAATTCAATCCATATTGCAACGCTCGCAGTGTTGCATTATGGGACATCACAGACCTACACACCAATTCAGTTTCTCCGCTAAGTTTAGCGGGGGAGTTAAATTGGTGTATACACCTGTGATTTCCCATAGTGCAACGCACGCAGTGTTACAAAATGTGACATGACATCATCTCACATCACCTATACACAAAATTCAGTTTCTCTGTTAAATTTAGCAGAAAACTTGATGTCACTTAACATGATGTTACGTGACCTACACATAAATTTAGTTTCCCCACTAGCAGGAAAATTTACGTCACGTGACATCAATGCGAATTGAATTTCCCCGCCAGATTTAGCAGGAAAACTGACATCACGAGACCTCAACATCATTTTAGCTTCCCCGCTAAATTTAGCGTGAAAAACGACATCACATAGCTTTGTGTCACGTAACCTATTAGGTTACGTTAGCGGGGAAAATGATTTTAAATGACTTCATGTTATATGGCTAGTTGCTCCGGATTAAGTGAAGCCGGATAAAGTTTTCCCGCTAGATTTAGCGGGAAAATTGACTTAAGGTGACCTCAGCAGCAATTCATTTTCTCGGCTAGATTTAGCGGGAAAATGACGTCACTTGACCCTCACAAAAAGCTCGGTCTAGCTGCTAAATTTAGTGACGAAATTGACTTCAAGTGACCTGATGTCACATGACCTATACAGTGATTAAGCTTCCCTGCTAGATTTAGCGGAAAACATACATTACGCGAAACCGATTCCATATCGGTGCAGCCAAGAGGGCCAGCTATCACTAAATGCTTGTGGTGCTAGAACTTTTCACACATCCAACAGTATTGCCTAGCGATTTGCCATGCATTTTTTTGTTGTTTTGGCTGCAGCAAGACATTGGCTGGAGAGAAAAAGCACGGCGGCTTCTCCTCTTTTCCACAGACAGCGGCTTCCATTACGCAGGAGACGGCAAGGTGGGTCATTCAGTTTTCATCCATAACGTTTCTAGTCCATAAATTATTTATATTATTTTCTACAGACAAAAGAAATGTGATAAATGGCCCTACTTCCTGAAAGGGGACAGCCTCCAGTCCACTTGAATGTTTAATAGGAGATTGCACATGTGCCATTGTTTCGCGATACCAAATTATTGACATACCTGGCATGACGAAGCAGTTGCACCGTAAATTCTGTCATAAGTTACTTACATCGGTGGTTTAAAATAGGGATCCTTAGAGGAATTTTAGAGTCTGCGAAGCCCTTGCTAGTTGGGCAAGCTTGGCAATTAGAACTGTCCTTTCTCATACACCGAAAGAACAACAACAAAAAAATCTCACTTTTGTGGAATGTTTTTTTTTTTCTGTGTATGGGGGGAACGAGAAAAGGCCATTTCACACTCGTAGCAACGAGTTGTGTTCATTTATTTTGTCATTGTCGTAATCGCCCAACACCCTTTTGTCTCCCATTACTTCCGCCGTGGTCAACTACCACGGCAGTAGGAGCTCCGCCTTCAACATCTGCTCCTTGCCTTCCGTCATACTTTGGCCGCAAATGTCCACGAGGCGCCGAAGTGTTATCGATGACAGGAAGCTCGCACCGGAGCTTCTCCTAGATTCTTAAACGGTCATAAACTATCATGGAGGTAGAAAGCTTCTGGTGGTGAAATGGGGTTAACGGAAATTAAGCGGAAAGTGCGGAGAGACACGCCCCCAACGACGACTAAAACCCAGAGACGCCATTGGACAAAAAAGAGAGCCAACTTGGCACCAACATCTGTTCTGGTAGCCCTCGGGGAATCGCACCATGACTGTCCAGTGATTTCTTTGTTCTTTGTTGCGCGAAAGCATCTCTTTAAACAGCACGCAGCGTCTGACTGCTTGTTCCGCTTGCAGCTTGGGGGCATTGTGAAGCCCAATGATGGGTCGTGCCACCTGGAGAACGGGGAGTACACGCAGAGCGTGCACCAGGACTACCCGTCCCTGAGCCAGATCAACGCCAAGATCCAGGAGCACAAGGTGAACATCATCTTCGCCGTCACGGCCGACCAGATCGGCATCTACGAGAAGCTGGGCAACCAGCTCGAGGGCTGCAGCAGCGGGCGCCTCGAGAATGACTCTTCCAACGTCGTCCAACTCGTCCGGGAACAGTACGATGTGAGTGGACCAACCACCTTGCTTTCCTGTCTTTCGTGACGCTAGTCTTTACGTCGGTGTACTTTGTCTCGCTGCGGCCCACCCTCGGTAACTCGAAGTCGCCTTATTCAAATTTTCGTTTGATTTAGAAAGGGGGCTTGGTCCCGACGATTACACATACGAGTCTAGTGATACCAAGTATCACCTCTGAGACCGGTGAATTCGAAGGATTTTTTTTACGTGATTGAGAAGTCCGGCAACTCTTGAGCGTGAAAAGCCTCGATTGTGCTGACCAGGCTCAAATCGCATGCGAGCACGCTTCATCGCTTTTATCTACAATGCAGTCAACTTATAAAGATAATGAGATAACCCGAAAATTAAATTGTTATGTCCGATTATCGTTGTATCTGGACTAGATTTACTAGAAACTGATCGTTATAAGCAGTACACCTGTTATATGTGACATCGTTATAAGTTGATTGTACTGTACCACGTGCGCGGTCGGGAAAAAAAGAGAACAAGCGCGGCGTGTGAACAAGCCGCGAGGCGGCCAAGCCAATTAAGGAGGATTGTGGGGCTTTTTGAGTAATTTTCTTATTTATGAAAGAATACTGTAAAACCCTTAATGTTCGCAAGCCCTCAATTTTCGCGAATTTCACGAATTGAAGAATTCGCGAAATTTAAGGGCGTGTGAAAATTTCGGTCCTTAAGATTTTCAATGCGGGCGACTGAAATTCGCAAAATTTAGTGGTCGCGATTATGTCATCTGTGACCGATCCGCGAAAAATAGGGGCCGCGAAAATAAAGGGTCTTACAGTACTTATCATATTATACAGTTAAACCTGGATATAACGAAATTAATAAAAGTTTGCAATAATTTGTTATATGGAGGATTTTGTTACATGCAGTTTTCGTGGAAAAACTCGTAAAGGACAGGTGGAAAGAAAGCGAAAATTAAAAATCCACGTGGGCGAACTCACTGCGTCATTTATTTAGTGGAAAAAAAAGTGAAAGCCGTTTACAACTCTCTGTAACGCCGAATTAGAGCGCAGCTCTTGAGGAGGGAAGGGTACTGGGGGGGGGGGGGTCAACTGACCGGAGGGGGTCACGTGAAGATGACAATGCCGATGATGTCATCAGTGACGTCACTGATGACATCATCAGCAACGATGACAATGCGGATACTGATGACTTCATTAGTGACGTCACTGATGACGTCACCAGTGATGATGACAATGCAGATGTCGGTGATGATGATGACGATGACAATGCGGATGCTGGTGACGACATCAGTGGCGTCACTGATGATGTCATCAGTGATGATGACGATGCGGATGCCGATGACGTCATCAGTGACGAGGATGTCATCGGGGGGGGGGGGGGGGGGGGGGGGGGTCGGGTCACGTGACCTTGGGGGGGTCAGGTCGCTTTGGGGTGACCTTGGGAGGGGGGTCACGTGACCTTGGGGTGATCTTGGGTTGACCTTGGTTATGCTGACGGCGACGGCAACGCCGCTCAAGCCGGAAGCGGGCGCCTAAGAGCTGTGCTCTAAAAAGTCTGTAAGCTTGCCTTGCGTCTTTCGCGCGAGCGAAGGCAACACGCAGCACTCAAAAGGACACCAAAGCGTTTAGAGCTCTGTAGTCGTCCTGGGAGTCGGCGACCCGGCATAATAAATACATCGATGGCATTCAAGACCTCCCTCGCTGTAGGCACCAAAGGCTGCTCGCCTTTGGTGGCAATTGGACATGAACATATCTGCATTTTAAGTACAGTCGCCGATTGATTATTCGGACTTTGCAGGGTCCGAAAAAACGTCCGAATAATAGAGCAGTCCGAAAAATCAGCAGATTGAAAAACTTGCCTTTATTACTTCCAAGTGGGCTTAAAAAAGCTGTAAATAGTGCTTTGTTTCAGGTTACGCCTCCTTTTTTTTTCGGCAACTTTCTATTAGCTTGAGGATCGCTGCCTTTTTTTCTAGCGTTACGGTCGAGTACTTTATGCGCTTCTTGATGACACATTGCAGCGGCAGAAAAACGGATGGGGCTATGACGTCCAAGCCAGCGTTGTGCGAACGAGATAAGAGGCGCAAAATCACGAGCGCAAAATGGCGACTGGCGATGCAAAGAAATGGGAAAAGCAAAATGATAATGATGATGATGACGTGCAGCTAAATGGAAGAAAGAGCTAGCATAGCCTCACCTAGCGGTAGGACTCAGGAGTACTCAAGTAGCGCCAGTAGTGCTGCCAAACCAAGCCATTCCATCTGCAGCCAACATAGAATTCGAAATGGCCGCTTCTCGATGGTGTTTTCCGCTGATCGGTCGCGACGATTTTGTTAGAATAATCAAACTTTCGGACTTCAAGCTGTCCTAAACATTGGTCGTGAATATACACTATTTCTATGGGGTAAGTCACGGTTTTGCCTTTAGGTCCGAAATATCGAACAAATAAAAAATTATCGAAGTCCGGAAAAAAAAAAAGAAAATGGAGATTGCGGCAGAGCGAGATCAAGGTTATCCAGTGCGAGCGCTTCGTGTCATGGAGTTCACAAATACAAGCGCTTCTATGAAGATCGCGTCTGGGAATTGAAAAAGTTTGTTATATAGAGGATTTCGTTGTATACAGGTTCGTTACATCCAGGTTTAACTGTACACTGATATGTATAACACATCTCGCACCTGTTCCCAATGTGCAATCAGATACTGAATATCTTAAATAAAACCCAAATTTTGGGAAATCGGTCTAATTTGGGGGGATTAGGTCATTTGTTTCAGGCCTTTAAAAAAAATGTATTCGTAAATTATAAAACAATTTAATGCAACTGCATTCACAAAAGGGTAATTTGTGCGGTGATGCTATTTGAGATCTCACCTGAGAGGGTTATGTTACATGAATAAAAAAACAAATGGTTTTAGTGCGTTTCTTTAGAATTCTAAGTATATTTAACTCTAAGTATTTTGCCGTCCCCATGGGCTTTGAATTGTTTGAGAGTCAACTGCACATCCAAGGCTGCGGACCACCAGGTTCAATGGCGAGCCGGTTACAAAGCACATGCTTCGACGCTCGTGTCAGTGAACTGAGACAAGCTTACTGAAATGCTTTTCGGAGCAATACACCGTATGGTTTCTGAATTGTTTGTGATTGGACTTGGTGGCCCACAGCTTTGACTGCAGTCCATCGTAAGGTGAGATGGAGTGTTGTGATGGGAACACCGGATTGTGGGCTAGTTGCCCACGGTCTCGAATGAAGGTACGGTGGTTATGAAAACTCACAGTTATAGGGACGCTTGGATTGATCCCACCATCTTAGGCAATCCTGAAGATATTTCTACAGGGTTCTGCTATAATCTCTTTTTTTTTTTTTTGCTCGAATCTCGCTTCCTTCTACCCCGTTGCCTCTTCACCTCTCTGGGCCTCCACTTATTATTCTCTCTTCCACCTCTGTTTTACATTTTTCTCTGCTTTTTGGTGTCTTTGCTTGTCCTTGCAAACAGACAGAGTGTTACATGACTGCCCCAGAGTTAAAGCTGTTGATCTCCATCTTGCATCACCTGGTATGCCTCTTTTGGCCTGTGCATATCTCACAAAGATAGTACTGCACACAACTTTGGTTTGTGTGGCAACATTTACTGCGTTTGCATTGTATTGTTGTTGTATGCTATGGAGTATCCCCCCACACACACACACAAATGAGCTTGCAATATTTATAAATAAATGAGAAGCACAACTCTCTAATACATTTCTTTTCTGCAGAAAATTAGCTCCAAAGTGGAGATCAAGGACAACGTCACCAGCAGCAACATCCAAATCACCTACTGGTCTACCTGTCTCGGGTACGTAATCAACGTATTGGAGGTTCCCGCGAGACCGGTTCTTATTTGCCTGCCTTCCATCAAATATTTTGTCTGGTCCCCATTTGCAGTGACAAGAAAGAAAAGACAAATGTCTGCAAAGGCCTGAAAGTTGGTACCAATGTAAGCTGAGTTTCACACTTGGATCACGTTCTAGACTCGGATGCAATAAACCCTTCCGAAAATTCAGTCTGGCCGCCTTGATCGCCGTCGCCGGACTGTAAGGTATCTGTATGGTAATTAAATGCAGGTGCGGCACCAGCATTTATTTCAGACTTGATCTCTTGGCACAAAGTCGGGTTTAAAGCCCCTTGATGATGTGACTTTTATTGAGGGGTTGATGGTTTGGTGCTTCATACTGGACAGTTCTTTTTAGAGCGCAGCTCTTAGGGGCCCGTTTCCAGCCTGAGCGGCGTCGCCGTTGGCGTCGCCGTCGGCGTCGCCGTCGGCGTCGCCGTCGGCGTCGCCGTCGGCGTCGGCGTCGGCGTAACCGCGCCCCTCCCTCTCCTCCTCCTCCCTCTCCTTCTCCCCCTCCTCCTCCCCTCCTCCTCCTCCCCCTTCTCCCCTCCCCTCCTCCTCCTCCCCCTCTTCCTCCTCCCCCTCCTCCCCCTCCTTCTCCACCTCCTCCCCTCATTGTCCGGCTTGAGCGGCAAGGAGGAAAGCAGTGCGAAGGTGGAGGAGGGGGGAGGAGAGACGAGGAGCCGGAGGCGAGGGGGGGGAGGAGCTTGAAGGACGAGGAGGTGGTAAAGGAGAGGGAGTGGGAGCGGGAGGCGAGGAGGACTAGCAGGCATGATCACGAGGGAGGAGGAGGAATATACCCTCCACTCCTCCTCCTCAAGAGCTGCGCTCCAATTCGGCGTTACAGGAAGTTGTAAACGGCTTTCACTTTTTTTTTTTCACACCATCAATATTGAAATAGCTAGAACTACAAGGTAAGGAACCCATTCTCTTCGGCCATTGTCATACGAAAGTGACACTGTCTTACGAAACATATTATCACGACCACCATTAGTATGGCAAAAGTTGAGCTGTCATTTGAGCCACCAGATGGCGCAGAATTTTGAAAGGGTCTATTGCAGGGTCTTTGTTGCCAGCAGTGTCAGTTCAATTTTCATTGCGACAGGTGACGTTTGAAGCAAGCATTGAGGTCAAGTCGTGCCCCAAGGATCGGAGTCAGTGGAACCAGACTATCCAGATCTATCCTGTTGGTATCAGCGAATCACTCATCGTTCACCTAGAAATGATCTGCGAGTGTGATTGTGAGATGCCCTGGAATGAGGTAAGTGTGAGATAAAACTGCCCAGATTCAAGGGGGAGTGCCTCTTTTGGTGTTTAAACCAGTTCCCAGTTCTAACTGAGAAAAATTACCATAGAATATTGCGCATCCACCCATTCCACATTAAACGCCCATATCCAAATTTCTAATATCTGAGGAAATATGCACAGTACATTTATATGTAAAATTGATGGTCGTACAAGCGCCCATTCCCCATTTTTTCATGATTATCTCTACATTTTGAGTGGGCGCTTGCTGCCCGATATTTTACGTTACATTTAAAGCCAGACATTTTGGTTTCTCTTTTAACTCTCCGAAGGTCTTGTAAAGTTTCGCGAGATGTTTTGCATAAATTTTGAATCAAGGTCATAGAAAAGTAAAGTGACAAGCATCTGTTAGCATTATTCTGCAAATTAGGATGAAGTGGAATTGTTCATTTGGCTGTTTCAGTCCAAATACCCTAAATTTTAGAGAATTTGACGCCAATAAACTGGACAGTTTGAGTTTGGTTCAATCCCGAAGATCACTTCTCATACCCTTCCACCGCGTGTATACTAACGCTTCGATATTACGTTTGATGGTGTGCAAAAATCGGTTTCTCTCTGTTGTATCGCGCTGAGATTTACTGCAGAGGTACCCGAGAGTGATGCATTCATTAATTGAGAATATGAATACACAAAACCTCCGGAGTCAAAAGAAAGAAAATAAAAACTGGTTTTGTCATACTTGTTAGTGAGCGCGTTGGTAATGATATAAGTTTAGAAAGAGTTATGTACGTAAAGACGGGGGACGGGACAACACATCTTGATGTGTTGTCCCGTCCCCTGTCTTTACGTATATAACTCTTTCTAAACTTATATGGTTTTGTCAGTGGAAAAGTTATTGCTAAGCCTTTTTTCTCAAAATTATAAAAAAAATCGTTTTGGGCTATTTTGACATTTATTACAACTGAAAAATCAATGAAATGGAAAGAAAATGCACTTGCCTTACTGTTCTTCACTTCATTTGGCCCTAATAAGAACCACAGTGACACAGCATATTATTTAAGTGTACATGCAAAGTATAGGGAAAAAATTGTTTTTGATTTTTTGTGATTTACTCGGGTGGTCCAATTTTTACCACAATTTTGATGAAAGCTTCTGCCATATTCGACCTCCTCTTTAGTTAATCCTAGCGCGACACGTTAAGAACCCGATTTATGCAGACCTTCCAGTGTGGGATATAAGCGTTAATGTACACGCTGTAGAAGTGATGATCTCTGCTTTAGTTAAATTTGAACTTTGTAAGTTTAAACAGCATAATAAAAAGGGCGTGGTACGGGAACAGAAAGAAGGCCCAGTTTTGAGGACGTCATATGTTTTTCTTTTTGCTCAGGAACCAAACAGTCCCAAGTGCTCGGGAGGCAATGGAACCTTCGAGTGCGGAATCTGCAGCTGCTACAACAACCGTTACGGCCGAGAGTGTGAGTGCGACGCCAAGGGCACCGACCAGATCAAGGACGAAAAAGGATGCTTTTTGTGAGTACCGACTGGAGTGCCTCGTATCTGATCCTTCGCTTACCGCTCGCTCCTTCGATTCCCCGCCAGTGCACGCTTGTCTATACTTCGTTTCACCTTCAGTCCGAGCGCAGCGGACGCTACGAGCCATCCCAGCCAAACCAGCGCCGGGAGAGTATCACGTGACCTTGTGGTTGGGCGGAGCGACACGCGGAGCTCGAGGTCACGCGATACTCCCCCGGCGCTGGATTGGCTGGGAGGGCGCGTAGCATCCACTGCGCTCAGACTGAAGGTGAAACTAAGTATAGCAACAATGTGGTCCGTGTTCTTTTTTCAGCCCTAACGACACCAAGCCCTGCTCCGGTCGTGGGGACTGCCGATGCGGAGTCTGCGAGTGTCACCCCAGGGAGGTGGGTGACACTTAGCCTTTGTTTTGACCAAGTTCTGGTTTCATTTTTTTTAACTGATAAAAAACGAAAAAGACGGAACTCTAAGAGAAATTATATGAGCTTTTTATTTCGAAGTTGGGACCAGCCAATTATTTTCCAAGTTTAGATTTTTGTTCAAGCCTACAGAGTATTTTGGCATCTGGAATCCTGGCAGCCACTCTACATGTTTCCACCGTAGAACCTTTTCATAGGAAAGGGGGATTTAGCAAACATGTGGATCTAGTGAAGTGGAGTGTTGAAAAATGCATCTACTGCTGAATCCAACGAAGACATTCATAAAGGAACATTTGGGTCTCTACTTCGGTAGACGCCGACTCTCGGCCGACATGCGAGAAGCCCTTCTACCCATAAAATGAAGAATTCATTCTTTTTTTTTCCGTAGAAACACGAAGAGATTGTGACCGGCAAGTACTGCGAGTGCGACAACTTTTCTTGTGATCGGGTCGACGGAGACCTCTGCGGAGGTGAGGCAAATTCCCCTTCGAGGACTCAGTCCTTTGAAGCCTCGTTTCCCAGGCCGAAAGCCGTCGGACGTGTCTTGGGAACGACGCAAGCTGAACGACAAAACTTGTTCTGTTTCTCGGCACAGGAGAAGAAAAGGGAAGCTGCATCTGTGGCAAGTGCGAGTGTCGCAACGGCTGGACCGGTCCCAACTGCAACTGCTTGGACACCAACGACACCTGCATCGGTCCCAATGGGGTGAGTTTCGCTCGCAGTGTCCCCCGTGGTCGCCAATGGCTTGGGCAATAAACGGGGCGCGGCAAGTCCCAGGCATCTCGTCTTCACCCCGCAGCCAACGGGACTGCGGCGTTTGCCGACGAGAACGCGAAAGAATGAATCACGAAGCGGGAGCGAAAACATGACGAGCCACGACCTGCGTTTTCTAAGCCATTGGTGACTACGGCACTTGTCGACTGCCGTAATGGGGGCAGGTGATTGACGTCCACGCCTGTTTTTTTTTCCGCAGAAAATATGCAGCGGGTTTGGCGAGTGCTTCTGCGGGCAGTGCAAGTGCCACGAGACGGATGAAGAACGTTACAGCGGCCTGTATTGTGAGGACTGTCCTGTAAGTGCGCGCGGTTGGTCTCGGGGGCTACAAGCTTCTTTCAGAATGTGTCTATCGGTGTGTGCTTTGCTGCGTGCTTGCAAGTTGGGATCAAATGCTCTTGGGGCAGACTTTTTAAATGTACCAACAACATTGTGCAAATTTGTTTTTATAGTTTTTACAATGAAGCTGTTTGACACTAGAGTCTGGGAAAAAATGCGTCCTCACATGTCGACTTAAAACACCCCATTGGTCGTGGGAAGTATGAATAAATAAAAGCAAGAAGAGGGGTCAAGTAGGAATAAATAAAAACAAAAAGAGGGGGCAACCAGCGTGAGTCAGCCTTCCTTGGCATTATTAGGTAGTGAGTACCTGATCTCTTGTTATCATTTCTAGGCATCGTCCTAGAGGTCGTCCTAGAAGTCGTTCGAGAGGTCGTCCTTTAGCCGTCGTCCTAGAAGTTGTCCTTGGGGTCGTCCTAAAAGTCGTCCTCGAGGTTGTCCTAGAAGGTGTCCGAGAGGTCGTCCTGGGGTGTCCTAGAAGTCGTCCTTGAGGTCGTCCTAGACGTCGTCCTCAAGGTCGTTCTAGACAGCCTCTTCGAAGTCATCCTAGAAGTTGTCCTTGATGTCCTCCTAGTTTCCTTCCTCTAGGCTTTGTCCTCAAGGTCGTCCTAAAAGTTGTCCTTGAGGCCGTCCTAGACACTGTCCTCTAGGCATCGTCCTAAACATTGTAAAAAAAACAGCTTCGCTGGTCCTCCATCTTTACATAAAGTGAGAAAGGTCTACAATTTTAGTCCCCCTTTTTTTTTTTTTAAGTGTGAAGTAGTTTTTTAATGTCTGTGGGATAATTATCTCTTCACCCTTCCAGTAAATGTATTTCCCTCTCTCTCTCCTTCAAGAAACGAAATGCTAAGCTTCCTTAATTCGGTCACAAGTATCTCAACCGATTTCGTGCTGCTTGCATTCTGTAGCAACGGGTGCGCACGGTTTGAGAGAAGGAAGTCAGCATCGAAATGAGCTCACTGAGCTAGCAAAGCAAGCCTGGCCTTAGTTTGAATCATCTTGGATTTTAACTCCACAAATAGTGTGTCGCATATGTGGATTTCGGCACCTCGCGTATTGCCTCAATTTTAAAGGGGCAATGCAACAATTTTAAGTTCGAAAGAATTTGCGGTTTTTAATTTTCACATTCTTTATCTTATCAAAAAGAAGGGAGAAACCGCCTCATTCATTTGAAATATCACTATTCCGTTGCATTATAGCAAAGAGAAGAACGGGAGTATTTCGCGATTTGCAGCCGCGGGGTGGCGGCCATAAAAAGTAAGGCATGACGCACGATGGGTATAATATAATAAGCTGGCAAGATGGGCCATTTCGGGCTCAATCTAATGCTATATTTGATAAATATTGTTGTTTGAACTTGAGTAAACGAGTCAAAACTTCATATCATTGACAAAGTTGTACTGTATTTTTGTGCTAATACGTCAGTCAAACTTCCTTACAGAAAGTTAAGCTCTTTGCTCCTCCCCCCCCCCCCCTCTCCCCTTCTCCCCATCGCTCGGGCCAACCTTAAGGTCGCCATGTGAATCGCAAGAATCGTCCTGGAGGCTCTGAAAGAGAACCCAACCGGATCTTTTCCATCCCCATTGCACGTCACTCGGAAGACGGTGTACGCTCATAGGCAAAATATTTTTTTAGTTCTTTAATCCAGACGGTGCAGGGAACAAGTAGTACCACATTTATTTGACCGAAGTCTGAACATTGTTGCACGGACAGCACGGCCCCTATAAAGGGACACTGACACCCCCCAAAATTTTTTTTCATTTTTTTGCCAGGCAATTTATTATGGTGTCGGAATACTACTTAATTAATATTTTGCTGCAGAGTCGCATATTTTTTTAATAAAGCCAAAAGACGCAACTGCTCGAAACCGATGCCGAAACCCCCGCACCGCATGGAGAAGTGGAGAGGAGAGAGTGAGTGGCGTAAGTCGCGTGGCTACACCCAATTGTGCGATAGTTTTTTTGTTGTTTTTTCCCTTCGCGCGCAGCAGACGAAATGCGTTGCGGGATTTGTTTGCCATGCAATTCCTTTGCAGTTATGTTTGTTCTGCTCGCTGTTCTGTACTTCAAGATAAGTTGTTTTGTACATTTAAGTGTTGGCAACTAGTAGTGGGTGCCTGTGGTGAATTCCCGTGATCGGCTCCGAAAAAAATACTCCCAAGATGTTGCGTGAGGAGCTGCCTCAGATGTCCTGCATCTGAAAGTGGCATTCTGCGGCAGAGGTGTCAAAACTGGAATCCCATACCATTTAGTTCAGCGACGTATCGTCCACAACAATTGTTTTTTTCAGTGATAATTGTAAAAAAAAAATGTAAACATTGCAAAATGTTTGAAAAAAAACACAAAACGGTACATTTGCACTGGAGATTGAACCCGTGCCCGCTGTGTGGGAAGCAGACGTCTTTCCACTGAGCTACTGAAGGAATACTCATTCGTAGTAATGCAGCTGGTCGACTATGTATTCAACTCGAAGTATGCATTTCGTGCTTGACGTTTGAGCGAGCGATGTCTTCAGCCATGAGAAGGGACGTTGGCTCGGCGACACCTTTGTACAATCGGCTTGCTGGTCGGGCGTGTTGTACGGGACGAATATCAATTCTTTTCGTCTGTCCAAAATTTATCTTTCGAAGAAAGACAGAATTTGCCGGTGCCGTGACCGACAGTTCTGAAGTAGAGGTCCCACGCCCGTCGTCCGCTGCCATCCGCGAGTCCTACAAAACGACGCCATGTTGAGAATGATGCAGTAAATGCACAGAATAATTCCGGTTGTCTGTGCAAGCTTTTTTTTCAATCAACGTATTTGCAGCTTGTTGAAAGCCACAATAAATGGGTTTTATATTTTTTTTCTAATTTTAGTATTGACTGTGCGCCTTCAGTGACCCACGACTTTGATTAAATTTGGTGGTCGTGTCGAAACCTTAGAAAAGCGGCCCGTGACCACGGAAAAGAGAGTGAGCGCGACTCAAACCGGTCAGCTCTCAATCGGCGGTTTTCGGGCTGAAAGAAACCGAATTTCGAGTTGCAAATTCTGTTCGGGGTAGTTGGGCTCTCATATGTTACGTACAACTAAAAACCTCGGCGAGCATAAATACCCTGTCAGTGTCCCTTTAAGGGTTGTCTTTTGTATCCTGGCTCCAAAGGTGTGTCTTCTTTCATTGGCAGACTTGTCCTGGCAAATGCGAAGCCTTCAAGGATTGCGTCCTGTGCCAGGTGTTCCAGATTGGAGCACTTTCGGAACAGGAGTGCAAGACAAACTGCACTTTTCTCGCTATCCAGGCCCCCCACATTGAAGGTATGCACCCGACCTTTGGGAAAACCTTGCTTAAACTGGGGCTCAAAATAGAACAACTTAGTTGGCGAAACTGGCATTCCCGCTTGTGTGTTTGCATGTACTGAATATAACCCTTTTTGAAGTGCTAGAAAATCACGAGGGATTGGTCACAGGGAGAATGGACTGTGTCCCAGTTGAAGGGTGTGGCTGACTAATTCCAGTATCATACTCAGCTCTCAAAACGCTGCTTGAGGTACGCTGCACAATGAAGTCGAGACATTAGCTGGTGCTTTCCACGTTTTCCTCGTAGTAGATGTTGTACACCAAATTTTATTGCCAGCAGAGGACAAGGGAAGAAAACCCATGCTTATGGCAATTAGCTTTTGATAGCTCTTCAAACAATTTCAAAATCACAGACGTTGTTTAGTTTTTAAGAGGCAAGCTGTTAATGGCGAACCGAAATTTGGATTTAAAAAAAAAACACGCAGGAGATGTAGGCGGGATGCTAATATTCCTACAACACTACTCGTAAGGCGATATCTCGAATGGACGGCCGTATTTTGCGAAAAAGAGATTGAGATTGAACCAGGCCGACGAGGCGCGTGACGTGAATGTACCTCGTTTCCTCCTCTCTTCGCTTTGCCTCCTCAAGGCAGCGAGGCAGAGTAGACGCGAGGCCGTTCTCTCTCCTTCCCGGAGAAACATGACGTGAACATTTCTGTCACATGCGCCTCCTTTTTTTTAAAAAATGCGGTCATCCATTCGAGATATCGTTGTATGAGCGATGTTTTGATGTTTGTAGCATCCCGTTGCACGCTTCTGCCGCTGTGCTTTGTGGAATCCAGATTTTGGTTCAGCATTCCTTTAACCCTTTGATGGTCAAGTTTTTGTGTCCAAGAGATGTTTGCCAGTGGTCCGGTTTTGTTTGCAAAAGAATGGTATAAAGAAAGAATCCATGCGCAGGTTTTTTCCTTTGCTATCTAGGGCAAAGCGCATACAGTGCTTGCAAGCTGTTTAGGTTTAGAAGCATCAAATGAAGATATTGAAGGCGAAAAGTTGTCACCTTGCTTCCATTTGGTTTCAATTTGGCGCATCTGCTTCTGCGACATTCCAACGGCTTTAAATTACTAACTGGAGGTACTTAATGGAACTTCACTGCCAAATGATGAGCTCTCATCTTCTAAATTTAATTCTGAAAAGCGTTGAAATACGGCGACGGCCGTTGAAGGGTTAATTTCCTGGTGATATGTTGAAATATTTCGGCAGAAAGGGCTATGGGTGCTCACTCGTTTGCTTGTGTTAGCGCCATCTGCCGTGTCAAATCAACAAGCGTGCGATTAAATCTTGGTCATCCACAGTCAGTTGGCATGCACAGGCTTTCATTCCTCAGTTTGGATGTAGTTCCTGCTATTTACATTTGGAAATTACAATACGGTTCCAGCATCAGATAAATGAGCTTAATCCTTGTGTTGTTGCACAGGTGATTTGTGTAGCTCACTAAGACAGTGGCACGCCAGAAGTGACACACTTTCCTCACTGATATATCCCATGTCCAAAATAGCGGCAAGACTCTTAAATCGACTGCAAAAATCAGTTTCTTAACCTTTCGCGTTCCGATCTTGTACAGCGTTGGCCACAGGTGGTGCATTTTTTCTATAAAATTCGCAAAGAGCGAACTTACCTGAGGAAAAAGTAAGAAAAAGAAGGCGGCTCAACTCCTATGGAAACGCAGCAAAGCCACCGGTCTTCAAACCATAGGGCGCCTTATGGTTTGAAGACCGGTGGCTTCGCTGCGTTTCTATAGGAGCTAAGCCTTTTTCTTTTTTTGCTTTTTCCTCGGGTAAGTTCGCTCTATGCGAATTTTATAGAAAAAATGCACCACCTGTGGCCAACGCTGTACAAAATCGGAACGCGATAGGTTAAGGGGGGACATTGGCTAGGGGTCGAACTACTGAACTACTCAAAAGATCGGAATGAAATTTGCAGGGGAGATTTAACTTCAGACGTATGTGTACTGTGCAAACTTTGAGCTTTCTAGGACGAAATTACATACCTGCATAAGATGATGTGTCACTCTTGTTAAAAAATGTATGATATGGAAATGAAGCTATTAAGCGACAACATTTTGACTGCTTGAATATAAAGTGGGGGATATAGGACTTTGGGCTATCTAGTTTTAATAACTTATATGTAAATATTTCAGCAAGAGTTAATACCTCAAAATATCAGATGCATATCTGTCCCATGTAAAGTTTTGAAAAATTAGTTTTTTTTTTTTATCACTGAGGTCTTCAACCTAAAACGAAATAAAGCAGATAGCCCGATTCTCCTGTAAATTTCAGTTAAGAAACATTTTGATGGTGGTGTCGGAATACTTTCACCTTCAAACGAAAGATTCCTTCGTATGAAATTTGCAGCAAAAAGTGGAACTGAGAAAAATGCATGTGAACATTGAACTCCTTTACTTTGTTACTGCCTCACAATGTGTTGAAAATATTTTGTTTCAACGAAACATTTTGGCATATGGTTATTAAATTTGATGTAAGGGTGTATAATTAGTTTCTAAAACCAAAAACCTCAAAATTGAAATATAAATTTTTTCAAAGAAATTTGAAATTTAGGCCCATGTCCCCCCTTAAGAAAACAATTTTTGCGGTCGATTTAAAGGGCCTGGCCACTATTTGGGACATGCGGTACAACCAGCAGGGGGCGTCAATAACTTAAACCAGGGCTGCACAACATGCGGCCCACAGACACGACACTGTCAGATGTGCTCAAGACGGCAATCAGTACGATGATGCCAGATATTGAAAACCTATCTGCCAGATATTGAAAAAAAACCCGTGCAGTTCCCAATAAACATTTTTTTGGCCCGCGTCATTTTTGAGTTGTGCACCCCTGATTTAGACAAACAAAAATTTCATATACGGATAGTTCTGTTTGTGTCTGCAAACTGGGAGCTTTTCTTAAAGGGCCCCTGAAAAGAAAAAAAAGTTTTTTTTTAAACAGTCTGGTTGGGACACGCGTGTCAAAAAATGAATTTTACGCGAAAAAAAAAATTTTTTAGAGCAATATTGACGGCGAGAGATTTATTTGAAATTTTGCGCGCAAATTCCAGGTCATTCAGCTCGGCTCCTCATTGGTAACCATGGTCATTCAAATCGGCTTCTCATTGGTCAATAGAATGAGTGACAGCTTAGATGTTGGTTATAAAATCTTCATGATCTCTTGAGATCGCCTTTTGAATGACACATTTTTAGGTTTAAGAAAGAATCCATCGAATGAATGTCGCAATTGCTTACAAACGTTTTACAAAATCGTAACTTCCGTTCGGATACTACAACAAAACAACAAACAAACGCTTCGCCATTTTGTTTTCTGTCATGGTCGCCGTCGTTGTAACGCGTCTCGCGTACCTCGGGTGGTTTTATAGTTTTACCGCGTTTATATGTGAAAACTTTCTGAAGAGGGCTTGTTGCTTGTGTTAGTTAGTCATCGTAAGTACTTAGAAGTGGCGCGGTGTGACAGGTTTTTGTTTTCCTGCTTTTCTTTGCGTGATTCGTGTGCCCCGTTTACCCCATCTTTTGTATGTTTTCTGGCGCGCGCCAGTGCCAATTGTTTTTTAGATGTCGGTTCCCATAAAGAGTTTAGTGAAGGCACGCGGCACCGCACTCAACGTTTAATAAAAAAATGAGTCACCACTGCATGTCCTCGCGGCGGCTTGAAGGGTCGTGCGGCTCAGACTAACTCGTCGAGGCATCCGCTTCGCCGCCTTCCGCGGCGAAGTAGGTGCCTCCTCGCGAGCGGTTGTCTCGCGGCGATCGGAGCGGACGCCTTCCGGCTGGCGAGGCGTGTCCTCGTACGGGCGAAGGCCCAGTTCCTGGCAGCGTTGAAGGGTTGAAGCTAGTGACTCTAGTTGAAGCAACCGACGCTTCAGGTCGGGGTCCATCGTGCACGATACGACGCGGTACGTCGTGCGACCGGCAGACACAGGGGCTGTGTTCCAAATCTCCAAATGGATCAGAGTTATTCCGGCGGATCGTATCACGTGACAGCACAGATTGAAGAACGCTGTACGCGGGTAGGTTTTAGAACGCCAAGGGTACAAAACTCTAACCCTAGGGTAAGATCGAGTAAGTCTTGGAACACGGCCAGGAAGTAGCAATGGCTCTCGTGCGGGGCGCAGCCAAGCCGGGAAAGTAGCCAAGCCGATCCGCTACGAAGAGGCGGGGTGTACCTCTCCTCCACGCGCCCGAGATGCCGAGAGAGAAAAAGGTGGAAAGGAGGTGACTGCCGACTAAATTGCGTCTGGCGCGGTCAATATTGCTCTAAAAAAATTTTTTTTTCGCGTGAAATTAATTTTTTGACACGCGTGTCCCAACCAGACTGTTTTTAAAAAACTTTTTTTTTCTTTTCAGGGGCCCTTTAAATCCCAAGGAGGCTATGCATCGGGGTAGAACACAAATGAGAAATTGTTTGTTTGCGTGTCCCTTTTCCCTCGCTTAAAATGCTAATGTGCCAACTTGTTACACCTGTTTCTGCAGTTAGCGAAGAAGGTGAAAAGTTGTGTATTTTCCGGGATGAGGATGACTGCAAATACACATTCATCTACAAGCTGGAGCCCGACGGCGAATACACAGTGAGGGCCAAGAACGAACGAGGTGAGAAGACAACCACCGCACTGTAATTGATTCTGACCTTCAGTTTTTTTTGTTGTGATAGAAACTTTGTTTGCTTTGCATTGGTCCTGGTCTTCTACACCAACACAAGTTCTCTTCTCTAGAGTTCAAGTACTGCATTCCATTTCACCCTGCCTTGTTTCTATGGTAGCCGTTTCCAATATCATTGGCACTCTCAGTTTCAGTTGTAGCATACTTGTTACTAATGTTCCTTAACGTAGTACTTAGTTTGGCTCGGTACGCCATTGGATCTCTTGCGCCATACGACTCACAAACAACGACACATTTTATGGTGGTGTGCCTTATGATGCACTGCTCAGAAAAAACAAAGCGTAAGCTACGAAATGATTGCCCACACTGTTTCCATGCAATGAGCAGCATGTGTGCGACTGATGACCAAACCGGAAAGCAAAAAATGCACAAAAAAAAGGGGAAAAAAAAAAAGGAAAAGATTGCAAACATGACGTCCTCAGTTTTGCCAGATGAGTTTATTTTCCTTCTTCCTTACTCAAGCTTTTCAATATGCTCAAAACACCCAAATTTTGGAGCTCTCCGATGTGCTCAAAACAACTTTAAAGTGCCTAGAAGCTAATTAGAGACAACAACGCATAAAGTTTGGCGAGTTGGTTTGACATCATGAAACGGGAACAGTTCGAAAATAAACTAGGGACGAGTAGAAGACGTAACGACAGACACGGTGCTGACTAGCAACTGAAAGGTTATTTGTGCACAAAACACGAAATAAACAGAAAAAAACACACAAACAACCCATCGAAACGATTCCACTCACACGCTTATCTGCGATCAGACAAACTTTCCAGCAGTCATTTTCCACTTCCTCGAACTTTTCACAAGTCAACTTGCTTCCTTAATTAGCCGCTCAAATGAGCACCAAAAATGCCAGGAGAGAAATTTGCAATGTGGATTTCTGGATTTAATTTGCTTGTCCTAAACATTTAATTAAGTATTCTTTTGCCTCGTTACCCTGTTCTCTAAGATTGGATCGGTTTCTGCACAAATTTAAAAGCAGTCCAGAAATAATAAGGGGTCCTTCCGAGTTGTGCGGGTGCTCACAATGATGTTGCCTCGTGAATCTCTCCAGAATGTCCAGAGCCGGTGAACATACTGGCGATCATTCTGGGTGTCATCATTGGCATAGTCTTGATCGGTCTGGCACTGCTGCTCATCTGGAAGCTGTTCACCACGATCCACGACAGGAGGGAGTTTGCAAAGTTCGAGAAGGAACGGCAGATGGCCAAGTGGGACACTGTGAGTACTTTTTGTTCTTCCTTTTACAGTCGACTCTTGATAACTCGAAGCTCATGGGGACAGCGAAATGCTTTGATTTAAGCATACTTCGAATTTAAAAAAAGACATACTTGGTCCGTTTGTATTTTATTCGGTACTCCCTGGGAGACGTTGATTCTTGCTTGCTTCCGTTAACCAAGGTGCTCAGTTTGAACTATGCTCAGCAAATTGAAAACTTTTATTAGGACACCACAAGCAGTTTCCGTGCCAGCGGCTCTCAGCCACTCGGCATGGAAGATGACGGGATTGTTCCTAGGCCTGAGCACTTGCATGATGTAACTGTTCGAAAGCAGATTACAGACCATGGCATGTCCATTGACATCAGTACATTCGATGGACAAAACATCTCATAGGGCTGGGTAATGCCTCATACCAAGTTTTGTTAAAATAAACAAGTTCCAGAGATTAAACTTTGGATTCCTGCACTTTTTCTCCTATAGATTGGTATCTGTAACTGCCGGGGCCGCAGCCCTGCTTCGAACTAACCGAAAATTAGAATAAAGCGGCTTTGAATTACCGAGAGTCTACTACTTTCATGCCAGCGTTATAAGATCAGAAAACTGACCTGCATGGGATTGTAGATTAGAAAACCGTTTGGTAAGAGGCAGTTTTTTATAATTAGTTTTTCCACTTCCCTATGTATACCTCTGTAATGCCTGGTGTTTAGTCATTGTTTGTCATGAGTATCTGCAAGATAATTTCATGTAAGTTGACTAGAAAGGGTTAGGTAACACAATTCTTTTCTGTAAGTCTCTTTTACATAAATGTTGTGATTTTTTAAGGTTTTCCGTGTGCTGTAATACTAGTTAAGTAATTTTCACTATAATAACTGGCATAGTCCATGTACAGAAGAAAGTCATTACGAAACTCAAAAATAGAATGCCAGTTATGTGCATGTACATGCATTTAGTTTTGCCACTTCTGAAATACTAATATACAATGTTTATAGAATTTTTTTCAAAAGAGAACACTTCCAAACCTTGTGAAAGGGGAATCCTTGTGACATAGTGACAACTTTAAAAAAATTACTCCTCTAATTCACTACTTTCGTTTGCCATCCTCATTACCTGGAGCATGAGTGTGCCCAGTTTCTTCACACTATAAACTTCAGCGATATAATTGAGTACACTATTGATTGCATTTGCAAGTCATAGCAAGCTTTTAATCATTTATAGTACTAGGTATGCACCTTTCTACAAGGTACAAGGTCACAAGGTACTGTACTACTACCTTGTGAATAAACTTGTGCTCAAAATGCAGTGTACGCTAAGCGAGACTTTACCTGCCTCTCTTGTTTCCACCCACAGGGAGAAAACCCGATTTACAAGGGGGCTGTGTCGACGTTCAAGAACCCCACGTACGGCGGAAAGCAGTAGGAACATACTCTGTTGATAGCAGGAACTTTTTCCTCTTCTTTTTTTTGGGTTCAGGCTAGCGGGAACCTGTTGTCTTTGGGGTTGCCGGAGTGCATTATCATCCCCGTTCGTTTGACGCATCGCTTCGCAGTGTTTGTCACTTTTAAGGCATGAACACATTGGTCTTTTTAATGTAAGTTAACGGGGAGTTTTAGTGGATCGTTTCAATAACGATATCCAATACTCCGCTGGCACCCTTGTGCGTGCATCACATCGTTATCAGAATGATGTACTAAAGCCCCCTAGTTGTAGTGACGGGGAGTAAAGCAACACTGTTTCACTGTCGCCGGATATTTCACGGAAGAGAGTTTTATGTGTCGTGAGTCAACGTTAAGGAAAACACCTGTGCCTAGTGACTGCTGTGAGAAATAGTTCTTGTTTCATCAAGCGCTGATTTAAGCCTCGTTATATTTACAATGTGCAACGTCGAAGCTGTGTGCCAGAGCTGATCGCTGGCATTTTTGTAGCCAGGGGCTGTAACTTTGCACCCTGGTTAGGACTCCCCTTGGTGCAGTTTTATTGTGACCTACTATTTAGTTTGTACGACCCTTTTTGTTATTTCGCTTGTACAACGACTGTGGTAATGCTCATGAATCTTGATTTCATGCCGGTTTGATTCTGAAGAGACATATAGTGGTCCAGCCTTTTTGTTCACAGCAATGCTACTTTTGCTAAGTTTTAGTTTTTTTGTGTAATATAGATTTGTACATACCTTTGCTTTTTGTTGTCACCAATACAACCTGGATCTATCAGCGCTACCATCCAAACAACATCACGATTATTGACTTAGTTTTACACAAGGCTGTAGTACATGAATAGGAATGGCATGAGCTTTCAGTTATGTTATTTATTAATTAACAGTGATTTTATTCCTGCATTTTTTTGTCCAGTCTTTCTTCTCCTTTATACAATACTGTCCTCGTCAACCTTTGCATTGACTGCTTTTTGAGAATGTTGCGCTACATTTTGTGTAAACGGGAATCCAATATATCTATATACATACATATAACACAATACTGCCAGATGGAAAATATGTATAGCCTGATAGAAATCTTGAGCCAAGTCCTGTGTCAGAGGAATGATAAGCCCAAATGGTTTTGCATTGACTTATGGTTTATTTAGAGACTGCTTACAAAAAAGAAAAATGTTACCTCGAAAAATGTTTTTTGCCTATAGTGTTAGAAACCGGCTTTATAAAAAGAGTTAGAATATAGGCTATGTATGGAGTGCAATATTGGCTGGTTCTATCACTTGCTTGTAGTAAAAATAAAATCCAGAGCAGTTTTCTCGAGCTACATGAAATAATTTTTTCAGATAATGCATTTATAGCGGTATATTAAGGAAGGACGGGGTATGTCTTTAAAATAGCTAATGGTTTCTTGCAACAAGACACCGCCTGTACTGTCTTCCTATCGCTTCATTTCTTGCTATGAGTGCGCCGAACGAAGGAGTTCTTTTAGGTTGGGTTGTATGTGTGCTTATAGCTGCACGTCTTGAAAAGGGGAAGATTCAGCATTTTTGGTGAATGGCAAACTTTGTGATTGCTTACTTTGAAGAGACAATAAAATGGGAGGACTGAATATCCAGTGTGTTTTTATTTTTTTGCTGGTTTGCTCGGGTGTTGCCACGGTATGCCGACTTTCCTAATAATTTTAATACTGTTAGATTCACTATGCTTTTGCCATATTTGACGGTGAGCTCAAAATAACTTGGATCCATGCCTTCACTGAGAATGTTACCCACAAGTAAGGCGATATTTCAATAACGACAGCAATTATAATGATATGAATGTTACGCAACAAACACATTGGTATATTTCTGAAGTCAAGTCGGAGCAGTAACTAGAAAAATAAATAAAGCGCACAAAAAGACGGAGACTGAGGAGATAAGTAAAAAAAAAAAAAAGTTGCAAAAAAAAAAAGTGAACAAGTGACCTAAGGGAATAAATACCACGTGTAGACAATCAGTTTTGTGCAGATCTTGCCATTTTGAGGTTACGTGAAACCTTGTGCAAATAGGATCTTGCTTTACGGCGTCAGCTGTGCCGGGCGAGTGTCGTGTTGCCGAAAACGAACGGAGCACGCTTTAGGCCACTCGCGACGGCGCTGTGGGTCATGTGAGCGCGCTCCCCGCAAACTGCTCTTTGTCGCCTTGGCCACGCTGCCATAAATATTTGGCCTCTCAACACCTCGTCCGTCTTCATCTACAAATTCAATGTGCGCTAACGCTGATTCCTCACACGTATTCGGTACGCCGACGGTGCAAATAAGCATACCCTGTTATAAAATAAAGTGCAGATGCTGTGCACATAATAATTGCACGCAGTTAGGTGGTAAAAACAAGTATCAGACGACACTTCACGAGTCAAAGAAAAAAAAAACTTAACAAAGCAAGGCAAAAAAAAAAATAAAGAGGCCGTTATCAAAGCGCGGACGGGAGAGAGGAGCGATGATTTGGCACCACCTAATGGCGGCCGCGACACGTGATTTAATTCAATTCATTTTATTTACTCCCCACGTAGCACGAAAACGTTCTGAGAACATTCCGGGAATGTTCAAAATAACATAGACAACATTCTTGGAATGTTGAAGATTTACGTAAGAACATTCTATCAACGTTGTCAGAATGTGGCGCAGGCACTTATCGCTACATTCGGGGAATGTCTTCAAAGGGATATTCTTAGAACGTTCTGAGAACGACATAGAACATTACCAGGTCATTCAATCAACTTTGAAACATCCTAACAAGGTTCTAAGAACGTTCTCAGAACATCCAAAGAACTTCTGCAATATTCTCTGAATGTTGCAAATTTACGTAAGAACATTCTATCGACGTTGTCAGAATGTGGCGCAGGCACTTATCGCTACATTCGGGGAATGTTTTCTAGGTGATAATTTTAGAACATTCTAAGCACGACAAAACCTAACAAGGTTTTAAGAACGTTCCCAAAACATCCAAAGAACGTCTGCAACATTCTCTGAGGAATGTTTACAAAGATTGCACAATTATAGCTTGCTTGCCTTACATCCCCACTGAGCCGTACTACATATATTGGTATAATAAATCTCAAAGAGCGATCAATATTTTTTAATCGAAATATATTTTTTCTAGGCCTAGCGCAACCTAGACTGCTTTACCAGCGCATTAGCCACAGCCTGTACTATAACGGCAGTTTACTCCTACTTATCAAAACGTGCGGTATACATAACCGATTACTCACTCGGAGCATAAGAACAGATACCTACAGCATCCCACACTTAAGCGGGACATACCTTCTTCAAGGTATTAAACTCGAGATGCTTAAAATCGGGTCTATTCAAAACTGCCCCTCTACATACGCAGTGAGTGCCAAACTCATTATCACATTTTGAAGACCACTGCTTTTCTCCTACACCTTATCTCACATTCCTCGGTACACTCGTACAAGATAAAACTGATCCCTTATGCTAAGTTCCCAAAACCTCAACTTAATTTGCATATTTTTGGCACAAAGTGGCATATGGTGGATGGTGTTTCGAAACAAAGGTTGCTTGAAAGCTCCGTAAAGTTGGCTTCACCTGCGAAAGTTCTAGGAATGTTCGGAAGCGAACGTTCTAAGAAAGTTGCACATATGAATGTTCAAAGGGGAACGTTCCGAGAACATTGTGCATACGAATGTTCGCCAACAAACGTTTTTAGAATGTTGAGCAGCATACCTTGTAAGGAATGTTCGCATACGAACGTTCCTAGAACATTCCGAATGGTTTTTAACGTTCCTTCAACATTCAGAACACCCAGGGAATGTTCGCACGACATTGGATGCTACGTGGGTCCCATAGTACAAAATGGGCGATGGAGGCAGGAGAAAAAGCTGCAGAATTGCAGCTTGACGAAACCCCTGCCCCCTACAGGCAGATCGGTCAGCAAAATCAAATTGCATCTGAGAAAAAAAAAAAAATTATGCACCACACCGAGAAGTATGTTATGAGGAGGATAATGTTTCACGCAATCTATTCTTATTTAAATTTGCAATGCAAACACCTTGTTCTGTGAAAAACAAATTATGCACCACATCGAGAAGTATGTTATGAGGAGGATAATGTTTCACGCAATCTATTCTTATTTAAATTTTCGATGCAAACACCTTGTTCTGTGAAAAAAAAAATCATGCACCACACCGAGAAGTATGTTATGAGGAGGATAATGTTTCACGCAATCTATTCTTATTTAAATTTTCGATGCAAACACCTTGTTCTGTGAAAAAAAAAATTATGCACCACACCGAGAAGTATGTTATGAGGAGGATAATGTTTCACGCAATCTATTCTTATTTAAATTTTCGATGCAAACACCTTGTTCTGTGAAAAAAAAATTATGCACCACACCGAGAAGTATGTTATGAGGAGGATAATGTTTCACGCAATCTATTCTTATTTAAATTTTCGATGCAAACACCTTGTTCTGTGAAAAAAAAAATTATGCACCACACCGAGAAGTATGTTATGAGGAGGATAATGTTTCACGCAATCTATTCTTATTTAAATTTTCGATGCAAACACCTTGTTCTGTGAAAAAAAAAATTATGCACCACACCGAGAAGTATGTTATGAGGAGGATAATGTTTCACGCAATCTATTCTTATTTAAATTTTCGATGCAGACACCTTGTTCTGTGAAAAAAAAATTATGCACCACACCGAGTAGTATGTTATGAGGAGGATAATGTTTCACGCAATCTATTCTTATTTAAATTTTCGATGCAAACACCTTGTTCTGTGAAAAAAAAATTATGCACCACACCGAGAAGTATGTTATGAGGAGGATAATGTTTCACGCAATCTATTCTTATTTAAATTTTCGATGCAAACACCTTGTTCTGTGAAAAAAAATAAAAATTATGCACCACACCGAGAAGTATGTTATGAGGAGGATAATGTTTCACGCAATCTATTCTTATTTAAATTTTCGATGCAAACACCTTGTTCTGTGAAAAAAAAATTATGCACCACACCGAGAAGTATGTTATGAGGAGGATAATGTTTCACGCAATCTATTCTTATTTAAATTTTCAATGCAAACACCTTGTTCTGTGAAAAAAAAATTATGCACCACACCGAGAAGTATGTTATGAGGAGGATAATGTTTCACGCAATCTATTCTTATTTAAATTTTCGATGCAAACACCTTGTTCTGCAAAAAAAAAATTATGCACCACACCGAGAAGTATGTTATGAGGAGGATAATGTTTCACGCAATCTATTCTTATTTAAATTTACGATGCAAACACCTTGTTCTGTGAAAAAAAAATTATGCACCACACCGAGAAGTATGTTATGAGGAGGATAATGTTTCACGCAATCTATTCTTATTTAAAATTTCCATGCAAACACCTTGTTCTGTGAAAAAAAAATGCACCACACCGAGAAGTATGTTATGAGGAGGATAATGTTTCACGCAATCTATTCTTATTTAAATTTTCGATGCAAACACCTTGTTCTGTGAAAAAAAAAAAAAAAATTATGCACCACACCGAGAAGTATGTTATGAGGAGGATAATGTTTCACGCAATCTATTCTTATTTAAATTTTCGATGCAAACACCTTGTTCTGTGAAAAAAAAAATAAAAATTATGCACCACACCGAGAAGTATGTTATGAGGAGGATAATGTTTCACGCAATCTATTCTTATTTAAATTTTCGATGCAAACACCTTGTTCTGTGAAAAAAAAAAATATGCACCACACCGAGAAGTATGTTATGAGGAGGATAATGTTTCACGCAATCTATTCTTATTTTAATTTTCGATGCAAACACCTTGTTCTGTGAAAAAAAAATTATGCACCACACCGAGAAGTATGTTATGAGGAGGATAATGTTTCACGCAATCTATTCTTATTAAAATTTTCGATGCAAACACCTTGTTCTGTGAAAAAAAAAATTATGCACCACACCGAGAAGTATGTTATGAGGAGGATAATGTTTCACGCAATCTATTCTTATTTAAATTTTCGATGCAAACACCTTGTTCTGTGAAAAAAAAATTATGCACCACACCGAGAAGTATGTTATGAGGAGGATAATGTTTCACGCAATCTATTCTTATTTAAATTTTCAATGCAAACACCTTGTTCTGTGAAAAAAAAATTATGCACCACACCGAGAAGTATGTTATGAGGAGGATAATGTTTCACGCAATATATTCTTATTTAAATTTTCGATGCAAACACCTTGTTCTGTGAAAAAAAATTATGCACCACACCGAGAAGTATGTTATGAGGAGGATAATGTTTCACGCAATCTATTCTTATTTAAATTTTCGATGCAAACACCTTGTTCTGTAAAAAAAAAAATTATGCACCACACCGAGAAGTATGTTATGAGGAGGATAATGTTTCACGCAATCTATTCTTATTTCAATTTTCGATGCAAACACCTTGTTCTGTGAAAAAAAATTATGCACCACACCGAGAAGTATGTTATGAGGAGGATAATGTTTCACGCAATCTATTCTTATTTAAATTTTCGATGCAAACACCTTGTTCTGTGAAAAAAAATATTATGCACCACACCGAGAAGTATGTTATGAGGAGGATAATGTTTCA